TTGTAATTTGGGAACTGCCTGCATTTGCTTTGAACTGGATTGTATGTGTCTACACTGTCATATAAACCAGTTTACCTGTCCGAACGGATTCTCCCCTATGAGCCATCAAGGCTACTAAGATCTTCCGGGGGGGGGGGGCTGCTCTCGGTCCCACCACCCTCACAATCACGGCTGGTGGGGACGAGAGACAGGGCCTTCTCGGTGGTGGCTCCCCGGCTTTGGAACTCCCTCCCACTAGAGGTTAGATCTGCCCCCTCCCTCCTGACGTTCAGGAAATCGCTAAAAATATGGCTCTGGAATGCGGCATTCGAGGACTGAGCCTAGAACCTTCCCTGTGATGAATTATGATGAACTGTGACTATGAATATGATTATGATCATGACATTGACGATTTGGCGTAGGAAACTGTAATGATATAATGATGATGTTTTTATTGTACTGAGTTGTACTATTTTAATATGTAATGATTTGTATTTGCTGTTTTTATATGATTGTATTTGATATGCACTGTAAACCGACCTGAGTCCCTCGTCGAGGTTGAGAAGGCCAGTATAGAAAACCTCTAAATAAATAAATAAATAACTTCAAAGCAGATAATCTGGATTTTATGTGACAGTGTAGAAGGGGCCTAAGTATACTTCCTCAGATGCTTGGAGAGCTTGTACTACCATTTCTTTCTCTCAGGCCCCATCTATACTGCCATATAATCCAGTTTCTGAAATCAAATTATCTGCTTTGAATGGGCCTCTATGGCAGTATAGACGCCTATAATCCAGTTCAAAGCTGATCATCTGGATTCAATAACAGGATTATATGGCAGTATAGATCTGGCCTCAGTTAGTCTTAAAGATGCTCCAAGATCCCTTTGCATATTGATAGTTCCAGACTAACTTCGTTTTGTTTTATTACTGATGTTTTTATATCATTTTTAATGTTCTAGACTGCCTTGGGCACCATTACTGGGAATAGGCTGAGATATTGAATTCCATAAATAAGTATATCTATCATAGCTAAGAACATTAAGAGGAACTCTGCTAAATCAGTTAAACCCCTAATCCAGTATCCTGTTTTTGACAGCTGGATGCCTTTCTGGTAACTCTGGGCTTCCAAATATTTTGGTATTGCAGCCCCCATCATTTCTAGCCCTTAGTGAAGGCTCATGAAATGTGCTATTCAGAAATGACTGACGGCCCTCAGTTGCCACCTCTGCTCTTCACTGTCACTGTTAGTCATAATGGCATTATGTGTGTTGGGCTGAGGCATTTCAGATGATATTTACTTCTAAAAAAATTCAAGGCAAAGATTATGATGTGACGTTGGTTTCTTCTTTTGTGTGGACTGGTAAAATAGAGATGCTGCTTACACCCGAGGAGGGGGTTTCAAAATGTTTCACTGCCTGAATAAAACTTAGATCTTTTGTTTCACAGCTCTCTTTTGAGATGCTTATTGTACCAAGACTTGTTTTACGGCTTTTATGTCCTCCCCAAACTGAGATGTGGGCCCGTTTATTCCTTCCCTCAGAGTGCTTTTCTGAGCTGCCACCAGTTCGAAAAATTACTTTTTTGGACTGAGAGATTTGGAGAGTTGTAATCCAAGAAGATTACAATTCAAATTCTGTTGAACATTCACTGAGCAGATTACAGCAATGGGAAGAATGCTCATTTGCACTGCAGGGATTCAGATCTTCCCTATTTTAGTTTGGGAAGGGATCTTTGTGAAATTGTGCTTTGAGTATTCCATGAAAAGTCAGGGAATCAATCAGGGCCAGCTAATACCTCACAACAAAGGATTCCCCCAAGAAGGAAGCAGCCAGGCTTTGAAGCTGCAAGGCTATTCAGTGCTAATCAAGCTGGCCAATTGCAAGTCACACTTGCCTCAAACAGACAAAGAGTTTCTTTGTTAGTGTTGATGTAGAGATTGTCTGGTTTGCCTACTCTGGAACATGCAACATATAATTGCCCTTCTTTAGGGGTCCCTTTCAAATCTATGATACTATATCTGTAATATACGTGTGTGTGTGTGTGTGTGTGAGAGAGAGAGAGAGAATCATATATAACAATCTATATCTATGGCTGGATGGCTCTTTGTCAGAAATGAAGGGAGTTGGACTGGATGGCCTTAAGGCAGCATTTCTCAACCTGGGGGTCGGGACCACTGGGGGTCACAAGGGGGTGTCAGAAGGGTCACCAAAGACCACCAGAAAACACAGTATTTTCTGTTGGTCATGGGGGTTCTGTGTGGGAAGTTTGGCCCAATTCTAACATTGGCGGGGTTCAGAATGCTCTTTGATTGTAGGTGAACTATAAATCCCAGTAACTACAACTCCCAAATGTCAAGGTCTATTTCCCCCAAACTCCATCTGTGTGCATATTTGGGCATATGGAGTATTCGTGCCAAGTTTGGTATAGATCCTTCATTATTTGAGTCCATAGTGCTCTCTGGATGTAGGTGAACTACAACTCCAAAATTCAAGGTCAATGCCCACCAAACCCTTCTAGTGTTTTCTATCGGTCATGGGAGTCCTGTGTACCAAGTTTGGTTCAATTCCATCATTGGTGGAGTTCAGAATGCTCTTTGATTGTAGGTTAACTATAAATCCCAGCAACTACAACTCCCAAATGATAAAATCAATATTTTTTGAGTGATGGTCACTCCTTGGGTTAGTAGGTGTCTTGTGGCCAAACAAGCAGAGCATTTTATATAACTTGCCTAGTTTCCAACAGACCTCATAACCTCTGAGGATGCCTGGCATAGATGTGGGTGAAATGTCAGGAGAGAATGCTTCTGGAACATGGCCAGACAGCCTGGAAAACCCATGGCAACCCAGTTTGCAGACAGTTTACTCAAAAGAGTTCTGTTGTCTTTTGGAGGTCTCTCATGCATACAGTTATTGCAAGTTGAAACCAACTTGATGACACACGACATCAGCAATTTTATTGAGTTCGATAGGTTTACTCCCAAGCAAGTGTACGTAAGATTGCAGCCCAAGCCTCATAAATAAATAAAGGCAAGGTTTCTAAGCAGAGCTGAGCCTTAGCCTAGGAAGCATATTGGCACTTAATAGCCATTAGCCATACCCTGCGTTCTCTGAAGAGGAGCATATCAATGCTTAATAACAGTTGCAAAAGCAATGTCTCCTTGCATTATTTTATCCTGTTTAGGGTACTACTCAAAGAGCCAAGTCATCCTCTGCAATACTCTATTGTCCAGCTCCATGAGGTTTTCAGGGTTTTTTTTTGTTAGGTTTCCTAGTTTCCATTTGACAGGGAAGGGAGAGGAAATTGAAAAGCAGGAAAGGGAAATCTTGTGGCTACCTAGTTCTTTTTTTAGTATGATCTTGCATGAATTAGAGCCCATTTCCTTGGGGACATTGATCGGGAAAATAGTTAGGCGTGCAATGCACACTTGCAAAGTGTAGGGCAATCATGAAATGGGATGTCGGGAATGACAGATCTCTCACTACTCATAAAAGTCTGAAAGAATTAGTTTACCATGAACACCTGTGGCTCCTGCATGCTAACACATGCAGCTGGTTGGTAACATCCCAAAATGGGAAAGGAACATTTCAGGCAAGTTAGTTCTGCTGAAGACAGTCTTTTTTTTCTTTTTTGAAAAATATGTTTTTGCTATATTCACAAATATAGTAGGAAAGAGCCCATTAGTATTTGCAGTCTGCTAATAAGTCATTAACTCTGTTCAAACTGCTCCTAATCAAATGTAATTTGTTAATGCATCCCAAATTAGCCTATTTTCCTGTCTAGCCTTCCATTGCATTTTTCTTTGTTCCACAACACTTAGTCTTAGGTCAGAGACTGATTATCCTGGGAGACCGAAAAATTACTCAGACTGGTTTGAGATTATTGCTATTTCTAACATCTGATTCGTGTCTGTTTATTCTCTTTTGTAGATACTGTCCTATTTCTCCTATATAGAATGGTAGCACAGTCAGCCCTCCACATTTGCTGGAGTTAGAGGTGCAGGACCCCTGTAAAAGTGAAAACTGGGTGTTGAAATTGCTCCTTTTTAACTTGAGAGAATACATCTCGAGGAATTCAGGGTTCTTCCTCTGGCTGTTGACCACAGAATGGCATTAAGAGGATCTGGAGATTGCTAAAAAAACATTTTAATCAAATCGTCAAAGGTCAAACTCACAAACATGGCACTCCAAGAGTAGATTGTTCCTGGGTCTCAGACTTTCCTTGCCCAATTGGGTTTTATCCACGTCACTGGGTTGTTTGAGAAAATCCTGCTGCAGATCCATTGTTTTGAGCAGGTACTGTGGTATTGGACATCTTGGCTATCAGTGCCAGATTTGGTATTGCGTTGACGGTAGAAGCTGAAGCCGTATCAAGGCTTCAACTTCTGTACTTTTTCATTGACTAAATAAAGGTAGCACCGTTTTATGGATTTTGGAATTTGTTGTTGTTGTTTTTGTTTTTTTGCTGGATAGCTAATATGCTTTGTGTGCCTTAGGTGTCCATTATGAGAAGTCTTGTAGATTTGGGCACTCTATGAAAGATTCCTCTTGTTTCTGTATGATCCTGTGTTGGCTAGCATCCTGTCAGTACTTTCCACTCAGGTGGGTATTATGGAGAGCAATATGGTGGCAGACAAGACTTAGAGCAGTGGTTCTCAACTTGTGGGTCCCCAGATGTCTTGGCCTTCAATTCCCAGAAATACTCACAGCTGGCTGAGATTTCTTGGAGTTGTAGGCCAAAACACCTGGGGACCCACAGGCCGAGAACCATTGCTGTAGGTATTTATGGGGTCTCTTTCTATTCAACTTGTGGTCTGGTATGCTTGCTGTTCCCCAGTAAGCAATGATGCACCATGCTTAGGAAGACTGCAGTTCCCATCCTGCCAGACTCTGGGTGCTGTTGCCCAAAGAGTGACTTTTCCAAGATTGACATTGTTCCAACCTGGAGCATCCCAATGTCTTTGTGTTGCAAACCTTTGAGACAGTCTGTGTGGGTGTTGACTCCCCGCTTTCCCTCCTGCAGGAGATGACGTTTGGGTGGTGGGGGAACGTGGAGGGGAAGTGACCCTGAAGTGCCAGAACCCATCGTGGCAAGCGGTCCAAGTGGCCTGGTTTGAGGGAGAACCGGGCACCATCCCCATCCTCTTGTCCTCAGAGGGTGATCTCCCTTCTGACAATCGCTTCTCTTTACTGGGAAACACCTCCTTGCACATCTCAGGATTGCGCTGGGAAGATGAAGGCAACTACACCTGCATGACAACTCTGAACGGGATAAGCAGCCTGCACAGGGTCGAGCTGCTCGTAACCGGTAAGTTGGCAGCTACCTTGTTTCATTCTGTAGCCCAAAGATGCCTTAGAAGCAGTTAGCTTTCCGACCAGATACAGCAGGGTGGCATATCGAAATATATTTTGGCCAGAAGTACACATGTATGTACAGGTTGTCCTAGTGTATGTCCCATGAGGAGAAATGAATGCACTCTCCTCTGTCACAGCACAGCCTACAATTACTCTCTCAGTTACTATTTTGCATCCAATTCTATTTTGCCAATTTAGAGCCACTGATTTCCAATAACAAACAAGAGTCGTATAAGCCAGTCAAAGCAAGTCTCACATGAAGAGCAGCTGCCCAAGACTCTCAGGCAGAGAAACTTACATAGAACACTACTCTCTGGGGTTTTAACTTGAAGCCACCAAGAATTGAAGCTATGTGCATGGGAAAAACACACACTGATTGTTACTCCTTGTTGTTTTTCCCTAGTGAAGTCCCCCTGACTACTAACTCCCCATGTCCATAGGAGCTCAGATGTTTTCTTACTGATCGGATGACCTCGCTTGTTCCCAACACTGACTTTCTGGCTCCGTTCCCAGTCTAGTTTTCTATTTGCTTTGAAGGTGTGGTAGGCTGGTAGTTATGCAGCAAGCCTGTCCTGAGCAGAGAGCTACTCCCACTCTCTCCAAACAGCTCCAAAAGGGTGTAACCTTAAAGTTGTGGGGTACCCCTTGTTTCTTGTTTTGGAATTTATGATCTGCTTTGGGGCCCTGGATGGAACTAGAAGGCCGCATCTAAGTAAACAGGGCCACTTCTGTCTCCCTTCCAGATGGACCTAATGAAGTGAATATCAGCATCTCCCCCACTGTGGCATTGCCAAATGGCACACTGTATGCAAAGAGACATGATGTCCTCAACTTCACGTGCACCAGCGACTCCTGGCCTATGCCCACAACTGAATGGGATTTCAGTTCCCCACGGGAGGTGTTCACAGAGGTCAATGGCACCCGGAGCTCTTTTATCCTCCATGACATTTCACCCAGGTACCAAGGGAATTACTCATGTTTGGTCATCAACTGGATCAGTTCGCGCCATCAGACTGGGACCCGGGAACTCTTGGTCTATTGTACGTATCCTGAGCAATGCTAATTCATTATTCTTTGTTATTATTATATCCTGTCCTTCTTCTAAAGCAGGCCTCTTCAACCTGCAGTTGTCCTGGTGTTTTGGACTTCAGCTCCCAGAAGTCCTGATCATTGAACAAGCTGGACAGGGCCACTGGGAGTTGGAGGCACAAGCATCTGGAGATTAAAGAGTCCTTATGTAAAGAGTTCAAAATGAAGTCCACAGTGTTCCTCTTGGAGTGGGACAGAGTTCTCAGTAAAAAAGAAAAATCAAGCCCAAGAGGGGTGAAATGAGAGAAGGTCCAGCAGCAGCAGGCTAAAGCAACCCCCAGCCTCTGATGGCTGCCTGCTCCTGCTCTAATTCCTTAGTCTGTTCTGGCCTTGGAGATGCTCTGTGAGCTTTTTTTTCTGAAAATGTTAGTCACTAAGCAGTGAATATGTTTTCAGTACTAGGAAAAATGTATTGATTTCCTGCCTGAAAGCTGTTTTTGATTAAGAGAAGCAGAGGGAGGAGGGAAGTCATTTTGCTGTTGGGGTAATTAAAAAGCCGAGAGACAGATCTGTTGCAAACAATCTAGTCAACCTTTGGTCCTCCAAGTGTTTTGGGCTGCAGCTCCCAGAATCCCAGCCAGTTTACTAGCTGTTAGGAATTATGGGATCTGAAGTCCAAAACACCTGTTGGACTATAGATTGAGAATCATTTATCTAGATCCCCAGTCAATAGAAGTGGGATCTGGATCTGATAGATCTTTAGGTTGTTTGCAGAACATTAACAAGGATTTCTGACATTTAAAAGTAAAAAGAAAATTACTCTGACCCCAAATGATCCTGTTGAAGCAAATTACAAATGGGAATGAGAGGTAGCCAAGAGTGGGCTTGTGCATGGAAGGGTAGTGAGTTCTTTTCTGTCCTACTGAAAGCAAATACCTGGGCCCCAAATTCCTTGAGTACAAAGTTTTGAGATTATTTTTTTTGCATTGGGTTTCAGCTGATAAATCTTGGAGTATATAGCTGGATTTACACTGCCATATAATCCAGATTATCAAAGAAGATTGAAATTATCTGCTTTGAACTGGATTATATGAGTCTATGCTGCCATATAATCCAGTTCAAAGCAGATAATCTGGATTTTGTATGGCAGTATACATCTGGCCTAAGACTCAATGGAGCAATAGGTTCAAATGACAGGAAAGGAGATTCCACTGAACATGAGGAAGACCTCCTGATTGTAAGAAGAGTGGTTCAACAATAGAACCCTCTGCCTTGGAGTCTGGCAGAAGCTCCTTCCTAAACAGAGGCTGGATGGCCATCTCAGGGGTACTTTGATTGTGCTTCTCCTGCATGGAAGAAGGGGGTTGGACTGGATGGCCCATGTGGTCTCTTCCAACCCCAGGATTCTATTGTTCTAAGTATGCCATTAAGACAGTAGGTATAGCATAGAGGCGTTGCTGGACATTAGTTGGGACACAAAAAGGTCCCTCCCACTGAACAGATTTCAGGCCATAGGTGGACATATATAGGAAGAGGCACTGCTCCAAGTACTGAGGTCCCAAAGTATTCAAGACTTTGAATGTAATTACCAACATCTTTGAATACCATCTCAACTCTGGAAACCCAGCAGGGGAGCTTAGGTAACACATCCTCTCTCAGCCCCCTTCTGAACAAAGCGTGCCACGAAAGCTCCATGATAGATTTGCCTCACGGTTGCCATAAGTCAGAAACGACTTCCAGGCACGCAAAAGCCAAAATCCCCTGAGAGTTGGTCAGCATGCTGTGTCCACTGAGTAGGCCTAGTCTTTCGAGCTCCCCAACCAACAATTGTCTTTTTGCCTTGAAGTTTTTGTATCCTTAAACCTCCCCCCAAAACTTTGGTAGAAGAGTGTTATTATTTTGGGTGCCTAAGCAACGGCACTCGCCACCTGAGCATTCGAAATAGAAAGAACAGTCATGTAACCAGTTCCCAGCCAAATACCGATCGGTTCAATTTTCTTGAGTTTGACTTTAATTTGAAAGGCAGAGATTTCAGGTTCTCTATACCTCCCTTCATGACAATACTTCAGTTCCGGGGTTTAAAAGCAGGAAAAGAGATACAGAAACATTGTAATAAAAATGAGGAAAAAGGCCCGATTGTGATCAAGTCCAAATCAACCAATTTGAAGCCATGTCTAAAGTTGGGATGTTATGCAACCTTTAGAGATGTTCAGCCTTGAAGCTTGGAAGATCATATTGGATTTCTTCTTGCCTTCCATGTAGTGTTGGACTACAACACCCATTAGCCCACATGCCTGTTGGTTAGGGACAGGGCTATAGCCAAGGGGGGGATAGGGGTTCAACCCCTCCTTCCCCACATCTTTCAGGTTAAAACTGGTTTACTCAAGAATTTTAAGTGGTTGACCAAATCCCCATGTTAAGTCTATGAGAAGCAACAATTAAACAGGTCCCTCCAGAACTGCAAGCATTATCTCAAGCAAATGTTGACAATTTATTCACACTGTCATTCCTTGCAGCAATAGCTGATATAGTGGAAGCAACCAAGTTGGTCCACCCATAACTGGCAGGCAAAGCCCAAGGCGCTCGGGGGGAGTGGGGGGAAAGATTTGAAGGTCATCCCGAAGGATATCAGACTTGGTGGGGATGGTTGACAGGGGCAGAGCGGCAGGCTATTTAAGGCTGCTCTGCCCCTTGCTGTGCTTTTTGCTTCATCATGAGGTAGAAGGCAGGTTTCTAAGGGGGAATTAGGCCTTTCCCTCCTTGCTCGCCCCACTTTTCCAGATAATAGGGTTCTCATTGTAATGCCTATATATAGGTCAGAAAAGCTGCAAGACCAAGAACAAGCCACAAGAGTAAAGACAAAGATCCATCCAGAGGAAAAGTGTTCTTCCCATAGATCAAGGGAACCACTGACCACATAGGGAAACTGATGAGGAAACACAACCTGCAAACTATCTACAGAGCCACTAAAAATCCAACAAATGCTACATTCAGCAAAGGACAAAAGGGATCCTCTCACCTATGCAGGAGTCTACCGCATACCATGCAGCTGTGGATGAGTCTACAGAGGGACCACCAAATGCAGCGATGCCCAAACATGAATCAAGGAACATGAAAGGCACTGCAGACTAATTCAACCAGAGAAGTTAGCCATAGCAGAGCACCTGATGAACCAACCTGGACACAGGATATTATTGGAGAACACAGAAATGCTGGACTACTCTAACAACTACCATGTCAGGCTGCACAGAGAAGCCACTGAAATCCACAAGCATGTGGACAATTTCAACAGAAAGGAAGAAACAATGAAAATGAACAAAATCTGGCTACCAGTATTTAAAAACTCTAAAATTATAACAGTAAATAAAAAACAAAACTCAGAGGGGAACTCCAGACAAGAAACAATCAAGAATAGCTAATCAACTCTCAACAAGGAATTCCCCCAGGCAGGATCAAGCCACACCTAAAAACTGTCAGGCCATCAAATGCTAATCAAGGTGGCCAATTGAAACATTCACACCTAGCTCCAACAGACAAGAGTTCTTTCTCCCACCCTGGACTTTCCACAGATATATAAACCCAATTTTTCTACTTTCCAACAGACCTCACAACCTCTGAGGATGCCTTCCATAGATGCAGACGAAACGTCAGGAGAGAATGCTTCTAGAACATGGCCATATAGTCCAAAAAATCTACAACAACCTATATATAGGTTGTTTTCAACTCTTAAATGTTTGAAAACATAAGAGGCAAGAAATGTTGGAAAATTGAGATAAAACATCTTCCTTATCTCAGCCGCTTTGACCTTCCAAGTTGCTACTTGAAGGCACGAACTGGTAAAGACACCGGACTCCTTAATTCAGCTTTCACCGAAAGTGGCACTTTATCTTTTATTTATTTACAAAATATACAAAACAATCTTCAATCATGTCCGATCACATCTCGGCACACAGCAAGAAACACATTCCTCTCTTATCAGAGCTTCTTCATCCAGTGAAACACAGGAAACTCCAAAAGTGACACTCTACCAATACTACACATCTCTATGTTTTAACCCATGCGTTTCTGAAATCACACAGTTTAAACTATAAGCAATTTTCATACCATATATACTGACAAGAAAGACTAACTGGATTTGCACTCTTGAGTGTCCACTGAAGTTTATCAATGGAGCCTGATTTCTATCACAGTGTATTGACACAGTTTTCAAGTGTTTCCAACAGACGTTGTGGTATTCTTTTGTCACTATAAATTCCCCGTTAACAGCCATTCTCAGTTATTGTCGGTTATTTTAAGACTTGAAACTTTGTAACTGAAATAGAAAATTGATTTCATTAAGTCTAGATAAAAATATAGAATGAACCATACTATTTGAATTATTTTGTGTTATGGAACTACTCTTCATGATTGGCTAAAAAGTTTCAACCCTGCCCACAAATTTATTTTTTGGCTCTGGCTCTGGTTAGGGATGATAGCCCACCAACTTCTGATTTGCTTACAGTGATAGATTTAAACCAAAGAGAGTCCAGTCCTCACTCAGCCGGACCACTTATTAGATTGTAGCTCTCTCAGGTGTGTCTACCTCACAGGGTTTTTTGTAAGGATGGAATATAGAGAAGAACTGTGTGCTGCTCTGAGTTCCTTTGGGTAAAAGCAAGATAATTCGATTAAACCCAATGGCTAAATAAATCGAAAGGCAGATTTAAAACACTGAAGAATTTTCAAGTTCCCAGACTGTAATTGCACTGAGAAAAAAAATCATTAAAGCCTGGTCCTTGTTTTTCTCCCCCAAGAACCCAGCAGCAGTGTAGATCATTTGTTGTTATTTGCTGTCACGTCGTCTGTGGCGTATGGCAACCCTTTGAATGAGCGACCTTAAAGAGCTTCAATCGCAACACTCTGATCTTGCGGGCTCAGGGCGGATGTGGCTTCCTTGATTGAATCAATCTGTCTGTAATGTAGTCAGCCTCTTTTCCTATTGCCTTCCACTTTACCCAGCATTATCGCCTTCACTGATGAGTCATGAACATTTTTTTCCTCCCAATTTGTCCAGCTTCTCATTTTTTCTGATAAAAGTGAAGCTAGGAGAAGTGCCTGTGCACTTCCGTTTGCATCTTTTTCTCCCTTCCTCATTGCTTTGATTCATGTATAGGTAAAACTGAATGGTTCCTGAGTGCCGGCAGGGCTTTGATTGGTAAATAAAAATTGCCATTTGGCCACTCAAATCAGAAAGTCAGGGCAACCTCTTTTTCTTGAGTCTGTGGTCCCTTCAACACTGCCATATAATCCAGATTATCAAAGCAGATAATCCACATTATCCTCTTTGAACTGGATTATATGTGCCTATACTGCCATATAATCCAGTTCAAAGCAGATAATCTAGATTTTATATGACAGTATAGAAGAGTTCTGTGCAGTCTTTTGCTTGATACTGCTTGTCAGTCAACCTTCCCCTGCTAACCTGATACCCTCTGGATATTTTGAACTATAGCTCTCATCAGGTGAATAAGCATGGAGGCAGCAAGGGAAAAAGGGTTGGAGTTGTTGGAGAGGGTGGCTGGTAATAGGTGGGGTTGCTGGAGGAGCAAAGCGCAGAATTGATTTTTCTGAAGGAAGGCTTACCTTAGAAGCCCCCCCTCCCCCCCCAAAAAAACAACAAATCTTCTGATGTCTTCCTATTGTTTCAAATCCATATGATGCTGGGACTCGGTTTGCTAGATGTTATAATTAATGCACTGTAATGGGAACTTTAAAAAGTGACGAGATTCAAGGCATGGCCTTCTCAATGAGGGAGGAGGACAACCGCATGGTTCAAGTGCTGGCTTTTGTGGCTTCTCCTGTTGCTGCCTCATGCTCTGTTGTGGGGTTTGAGGTGACCCCGAACTAGAGGGCAGGACAGCATGTTTTGTACTGTGGACTTCTTAATATTCAGGATTTTGTTTGCAAAATAAAAAACAACTACTAAGTATCCACTTAAAAAACATAACTAAAACAGTAAATAACTACTTTGAGGTCTGGAACTACAAGTGTTATAAATTGCTTTTAAGTTTCTACATTCTAATCAAGCTGTGCACATATGTGTTTAATTTTATTGATTGTTGATAGATATTACAGGGGGCTCTGAAAGTTGCAGGGCTCCCCCTCATCTTCCAGCTAATAATGTATGCTTCTACCTTCAGATCCCCCTCCATCATTACCCCAATGCTGGGCACAGACCCTCACAGAAGACTATGTAGGGGTGCAGCTGTTCTGCAGCTGGACTGGGGGCTACCCTCATTCCACTGTAGAGTGGACAGACCCAGAGAACCAGAACTGGACTCTTAGTACGACTGATGGAGTAGACTTTGCTGTGGTGACACTGAACCATGCACAAGTGCTCCACGGGAAGACGTTTGAGTGCCACGGAAGGCACATTCTGAATGAGGAGAACCAAGCTTGCACCATCCAATTGGGTGAGTTATTGGCAAAACTAAGTTACTTTCCTTAGTTATAGTTTCCAGAATTCACCAGCCAATTAGGATGTAGATTTTGAGAGTTGTAGTCCAAACAGTAACTTTATGAAGCTCTGGCCATGGGGTATGTTCCCACGCCACAGTAAAGCTATGGTTCATATTAATTATGGTTTCCTGCTTGAGCCCCTCATTTGCACTTCTTCCTTATGAAGCAGACACTCTGCCCCTAAGCCAGTGGTTCTCAACCTGTGGGTTCCTAGATGTTTTGGCCTTCAACTCCCAGAAATCCTAACAGCTGGGAAAATGGCTGGGATTTCTGGGAGTTGTAGGCCAAAACACCTGGGGACCCACAGGTTGAGAACCGCTGCCCTAAGCCATAGCCCAGCTCTGGTTCAGGTCCAGCTGTGGCCACCTTTCCTGCCACTTTTGGCAATGTTGATAATCTTGCATTTCCCCCCAAGTTGGCATTCAAGGTAATTTACAAATTCAAAAGTTATACAGTACAAAACCTTGTGCAGGTTTCTTGTCATTACAATAATATCTCTTTCAAGTCAATATGGGAATATTTTATTTTTATTTTCTCTTCTTTTTTTTTCTTCTACATTTTTTTTACCAAGGCAAATGCCTTTTTATTATCAGCAAATGTGTGTGTGTGTTTTTTTTCTTTTTCTCCCCTTTTTTTCCTTTTTATCCACCATCCCAACCCCGTCACTATCTTGAAATAAAAATCATTTTTTAAAAAAAGATGGGTAGTGGACGGGCATTTGACTGGCCGCATGGCACACATAGTCGAGGCTTTCAACGGTTTCTTACAACCCCAGCTGTCTCATTGTGTCTTCTGAGGAGCCAGTCCTACACTCCATGCAACCTGTTTTCAACCTGTCATTTGCTTTCTTCCCGGCTTAGAAAGACCTGCAGTCATGTCTGACCCACTGCGGACCTGCTTCGCAGGAGGAACTGCCATTCTGACCTGCCAGTCAACCGCTGGCAACCCGCCAGGCCAAATCACCTGGCTACGCAATGCATCCCAGCCCAAGGCTACGATCCATTCTGGCGGGAGGTTTCTCGTCAACCAAGACGGCAACGTCTCCACCCTTGTCATCCAGAACTGCTCCCAAGCCACAGACCAGGGCTACTACATCTGCAAGGTTGAGAACCCCCTGGGGATGAAGGAGGTGTACCTTCAACTCATCGTGGCCAGTAAGAGACAGACGTTGGAACTGCAGTGCGCTTAGGGACGTTCTATACAGAAGCAGGGACATGAACAGTGGCAATGTCTGCAGACAATTCTAGTGTCTCAGCCAATCCACGCCTCGCTGTACCTGTAATTTTCCTGCTAGACAATGTCGCCCAAGTGTGTACCTGAAATGTACTTACATGCCCTGGCTATGGCACACAAGAGAGTAAAATGTATTTCCCAAAGTCTGTGAACTATAGGAAGTTCAAGCCTGGACAGTCATAGTGTGTAGCAGGCATGTGTGGATAAGGGGAAAGAAGGCCTTTGGGGTGGTCCTAACCCTGCCATTACACAATGTCTTGCCATACACTTGCTTTCCATGGTTTATGGATTTGTTCCCTTTCTCTCCTGCATTTCCTGTAGTGAGCTCAGAGGTGCATATATAGCTCTTCTTCCTGACTTATCCTCCCAACAACCCTGTGAGGCAGGTCAGGTTGAGAGAGAGCGATTGGTGCAAACAGGCACATCTAAGGAGCACAAGAATCTATGGCAGGCTCACCCAAAGAAAAAATAACTTGGAAGTGGGCATGGCTGGTGGGCTGGCACCCAGTGGCACCATTTCACACTGCATCATCCCCATTGCAATAAGAGGATGCATTGTAATGTGTTGCGATCTCACTTTAGTTGTTCTTGATTCATAAGCAGTCCTGAGAATGTTTAATTTAAATAGCAGCATGGATTTTAAAATAAACATGTATGCCAGACTTCCCCAATTTGGCACCCCACTTCTGGATATGTTGGAATACAACCTTCATTCTCTCCAGTTGCCCCCGGTGGCACAGTGGGTTAAACCCTTGTGCTGGCAGGACTGAAGACCAATAGGTTGTAGGTTCGAATCCGGGGAGAACACGGATGAGCTCCCTCTGTCAGCTCCAGCTTCCCATGCAGGGACATGAGAGAAGCCTCCCACAAGTGTAGCAAAACATCAAAACATCTGGGCAACGTTCTTGCAGACGGCAAATTCCCTCACACCAGAAGTAACTTGCAGTTTCTCAAGTCGCTTCTGACACATTAAAAAAAAGTTGGAGGGACGGGACATCATGGGAGTTGTAGTTTCACATGCCCAGAGGATGCCAGGTTGGGAAAAACTAACCTGACTCCAGATATCATATCATGGTTGCTTTCTTCCCAGAGCCAACGAAGGTTGCAATCGTTTTGGGAGCCATTGTCATCCTATTGCTTGTGGGCATTCTGGTCATTTCTGGAATCATCATATTTGCTGGACCCCATTTGGGCCCCAAAGGTAAGAGGAGCTTAGATAATTATTCTGGGAAAAGCAAATTACGGGGACGCATGTTGGTCTATTAGAAGAAGCGAGAGTGGGATGGAGTCACAAAAAAACAAACAAACATCAAAGCAATGTCTCAAAATAGGGAGCAGACCTTTTGTTTAACAGAAATCCTTTTTGAGGGTAGGTGCTAAGTGGTGTCTCAAGAGTCTTCCTTATTATAAGGGCCAGAAAGCTTTTACCGTATGAGCATTAAGGAGAATGCCCCAAAGTCTGCATTTTCAAATTGCATGCCAAATGTGGGTGGGTAGGTGGGTGTCATCAGTTCTGAGCATGGCTGGCAGCTGGTCTTTGTCTTCCAGGTTGCGCAGTGTGCTGAGCCTGGAGGCGATAGAGTCCCTCCCCTTTCCAGGGTTTTAGATTTTGGGGATTTGGTGGTTCCTATGAGATTTGAGATCCCACAGGAGTCTGGAACTTTAAAGAGATGCCTCTTCTCAAGAGGCAGGCTGTATATAGGCCACTTTCATGTCTTGAGCAGTCTTGAATGTCCCTTATTCCTTTTTTGAAAACCTGACCTCCCTAGTCCTAAGAGAAGGGGGGGGGGGAGAGAAAAGGGGTTGGTAGAGTGGGATGGGGGAGAGAGAGAGATGTCTCTGCTCCTAGTTCTCCAGTTTCTAACTCTCTTTCCTATGCCAGCAAAGTATTGTGTTTTAGGGCCCTTCCACACAGCCCTATATCCCAGAAGATCAAGGCAGAAAATTCCACAATATCTGCTTTGAACTGGGTTATCTGAATCTACACTCAGGTAATGTGGGATTTTCTGCCTTGATATCCTGGAATATAGGGCTGTGTGGAAGGGCCCTTAGATAACGAAGGTCTCTTCCACACAGCCCTATATCCCAGAATAACAAGACAGAAATCCCACAATATCTGATTTGAACTGGGTTATCTGAGTCCACACTCAGATAATGTGGGATTTTTCTCTCTTGATATCCTGGGATATAGAGCTGTGTAGAAGGGCCCCCAGTTCAAAGCAGATATTGTGGGCTTTTCTACCTTGATATTCTGGGATATAGGGCTGTGTGGAAGTGCCTTTAGTTTAAGGCACTAAGTTTAAGGAATAGTGTGGACAGTGATCAAAATGAGTAGTATTGCCTAGTAGTTGGAACGTATTTTCCTTCCCTATTCTCTCTCCCATGGCCCATTAGTATGATAGTTGACCATCTCCCCTCCCTTTCCCCCTGTTCCATCATCACCTTCCTAGACACTGAAATAAATATAAAACTACAGGTATGAGGACAAGACAGATTGACCTCTTTGACCATTTGATGGGCTGTTTTCAAATGGCAAGATCTCTTCACATTGCTTGTCAAAGGCTGACATGAGATCCAATTTTGAAATGTCATGAAACTGGTCTCCTAAATATAACGGAAAAGGCGGTAAAGGCCAAGTGCCCTTTAAAATTGCATCACCTGCTTGATTTCAGTCTGGTTTCAAAGACCAATGTTGGGTGGCAATGATAACTTCCAGGCCTCTCCTCCGGACCCCCACTACCTTCTTCTCTAAGAGGCCAGAGCTGTGTGCCACACAATCTCACCTGCACACCCTTAACCGACCTGCAAGTATGGCGGAGGAGGCTACCCAGTCAGCCAGCACTTATGTCAATTGTCAGCCAGTCAGCTTCTGCACATATAACACGGGGAATGCTGTCCCATCCATTTCTTCAGGCAGCAATAAGCCTTGATTTGGCTTTGTATCCAAATAAACAATTGTTTAATTGTTAGTTAAATTGTCTTTTCTCTTTTTCTCCCTTCCAGCCTACATGCGCAGGTATGTACCTTGCTTGAATGGAAAAGATACAACTTCATGCATGATCCAGGGGTGAAAGAGCTAATGTTTTGCATGCGAAAAGGTTCAGTGAGGGAAATCTCTGCCCAAAACCGCAAAGAGCCACTGCTGTTACTGGACTAGATAGACCACTTTCTTTCTAGATTCTTAGAAAACGTTTTGATGGCAGGATATACATTTGAGATCAGAGTTTTCCTTCAGTCAGAGAACTTGCTGTTTAGTGATAAATTAGGAATCTGCACATAGAAGTCCCCAAGTACAGACTCTGGCCAGTTCCAGTTCCAACAAGTGTGGGGAACAAATTACTTCTGGATCTTGGGGGACTGCAGAATCCATCAGACTTAGCCAGTATGGGCAGTGGTAAAGGTTGATGGTATCTGCAGTCCAATGACACGTGGAAGGCCTTACATTCCTCATCCTTGTGGATATGGGAATGAATGGGGATTTTTTTAAAAAAATCTATCATTATCCTCATTTTAACAGACTTTTAACAATTGTTTTAAATAAATGTTTTAATGTACTAGTAAGTAAAACTGCCTGCCTTGAGAACTTGGAGAACTCCTGGAAGTCTGGGCTAAATGCATGAATACTAGAATGGTATCAGGTAACTTCTTATGAGCTCAGATGTGCTGTTATCCTAGAGCAGTGTTTCTCAGCCTGGGGGTTGGGACCCGGGGGGGGGGGGTCGCAAGGGGGGTGTTAGAGGGGTCACCGAAAACCATAAAAAAACACATATATCTGATGGTCTTAGGAACCACTTTGGCCCATTGCTAAGTTTGGGCCAGATCCATCATTGTTTGAGTCCACAGTGCTGTCTGGATGTAGGAGAATGACAACTCCAAAACTCAAAGTCAATGCCCACCAAACCCTTCCAGTATTTTCTGTTGGAATGGGAGTTCTCTGTGCCAAGTTTGGTTCAATTCCATCATTGATGGAATTAGGAATGCTCTTTGATTGTAGGTAAACTGCAAATCCCAGCAACTACAACTCTCAAATGTTAAGGTCTAGTTTTTCCAAATTCCACCACTGTTCACATTTGGACATATTGTGTATGCGTGCCAAGTTTGGTCCAGACCTATCATTGTTTGAGTCTCTGGATATAGATGAACTACAACTCCCAAACTCAAGGTCAATGCCCACCAAACCCTTCCAGTATTTTCTGTTGGTTGTGGGAGTTCTGTGTACCAAGTTTGGTTCAATTCCATCATTGGTGGAGTTCAGAATGCTATTTGATTGTAGGTGAACTATAAATCCCAACAACTACAACTTTCAAATGACAAAATCAATCCCCCCCAACCTTACCAGTATTCAAATTTGGGAGTATGGGGTATTTGTTCCTAATTTGGTGCATTGAATGAAAATACATCCTGCATATCAGATACTTAAATTACGATTCATAATATTAGCAAAATTAGTTATGAAGTAGCAATGAAAATAATGTTATGTTTGGGGGTCACTGGAACATGAGGAACTCACTAAGGGGTTGCAGCATTAGGAAGGTTGAGAAATACTGTGCTAGAGGCACCTTTGCTGAAGAAAAGCATCCTCTGCCAAAAGCCTTGGTACAACTATGGAAAAACAAAAGTCTGATGAAAGTTTCAGTCAGTCAACTCTTGGAGGGCCAGTGAAAGGAGGCAGGAAAAGGTACCTTTGACCATTCTTGGGGCTTGCTGTCCTCCTAATTATAGGAATCGAGGTGGAAGTGGCATCCTTGTACTGATGGACTCAGAAGAAAATCAAACAATGGAAGCAACTGAGGAGCCTGCTTTTTATCGGAGCATGCGAAATGACAGTCCTCCAAGGTTTTCTGGAAGTAAGTTATGGCTTTGGCATATATGTTACGCATTTGGGGTTTACCCCCACTGTAGGGGTGGTCAGTACCTGTAAAACCGAAGTCAAAACGAGCCACAGAGAAAGAAGGGGGATTGGGATGTTGCAGAGAAGGGAGGATCCTTAACTTTTCAGCAGGACAAAAACATCCCTAAAAGACCCCAAATCACGCAGCACTACTCCATAATGTGTTTTTGTCCATTATCTTTAGTATTGTATAAATTTATTAGTCAGATAGTTATTATTATTTATTATTATTTCAGATATTTGTACCCCATCCTTCTCAACCCCTGAGAGGGGGCTCAGGGCAGCTTACAACGGCAACAATTCGATGCGAACACATACAAAAACACGACACAACATGACATAGCAGAGTAGATAAAAACAGTAGGTTAAAATCCATTTAAAACATTATTATCAACCAAATTGTCATATCCAAGTCCAATTCAGCGACCAAAGACCCATTGCATTGCCAATTGTCGAAAATGTGAAGGTTGATGGCAAACCAAGTTTGTCTTGGCCAGTAGACTGTGACTACAATGGCATCTGTCTTGCCCTGCTAATTTTCACTTCTGTTTTTCCTGTCAAAGGGGGGAAAGTACATTTGAAAAAATGCATCCCCCAGAGAATCATGACCTTTTCTTGCTCTGGAACAATTTATGTGACTTTTTTTTGTTAGTTGCCATAGCAAAGAGGTTTATCTGAGGACATCCCCATGTCCTAGTAATAAGTTTGAAGGCTTGGCTCAGAAGAGTCCATTCATGCCGAAGATCTTGATCCTGACTCAAACCACCTGCCAGTATATTGCCCCTGCTGGATGGATGCTGACTGGATGAATCTGTCTCCGGATGTACCAGTTTCACGGGATGATCACTAAGTCCAGAAAAGTGAAGAATGTGTGCCTCTTTGATGGTTCATGTAGCACACTGTGGTTGTATTGTGCAAAGGTCACAATGTGTCTCTTTTCGTAGTCATCAAAAAGTAGAGTACGATATTACTTTCTTTTCTATTTGCATTGTTCTGTCCCAGAAGTAGTTACAAAACTTTCAAAGAAATTGTTAGAATGGGCCACCGAAATAGAACAAATTAAAGAATGTATGACAAAATGGGCAAAAAATATAGGTCAGACAATAAAGATGGAAGATTGGGAAAAAATGTGGAATCATAAATTAAAATATACCTATGCATATGAACTAAAGGAAAAATGGTGTAAAATGATGTACCAGTGGTTCATCACCCCACAGAAATGGTCTAAGTGTTACAAAACTGTACAAAATAAGTGTTGGAAATGCGAGTCACACATTGGCACCTTCTTCCATATGTGGTGGACGTGTGGAGTTGCGAGAAAATTTTGGAGAGAGGTCTAGGAGAAGATACAGAAAACGTTATGCATAAAAGTGAAATTGGAACCTGAATTTTTTTTTACTGGGAATGCTGGATATAGAAGAAGAGAGAAATAAAGAGATACTTTTCAATTATTTGGTCACAGCAGCCAGAATAGTATATGCCAAGAATTGGATAATAAAAGAAATACCTTCGATTGAACAATGGCTAGTTAAAATAACTGAAATTATGAACATGAACAAGTTAACTCAATTGATGACACAATATCAAGGAAAATTAAAGTCCCAAATGGGCTGGAAACCTATTGAAAATTTTTTGAAGCAAGAGAAGTTAAAGATAATAATATAATTATAGAAAAGACCAAGACATATGAGAAAAAGGGGATGCAGGAAATGGAGAACTTATATTGTTCTTAAAAGAACACTTCATCAAAGACAAAGAAAAAGGCTTCTTAATGACGGAGACCATTTGGGACAAAATAATGAGAACGGAAAAGAAAACAATAACTAAAATATACAAAAAATTCCTGGAGTGGAGCACAGAAGAAGAAGGAGTAAAAGAATGCATGATTAAGTGGATGAAAAACATTGGAAGACCAATAGGAATAGATGAGTGGGAGACGATTTGGAATTAAAAATTGAAACACACATGCGCATATTAACTAAATGAAAATTGGGTAAAAATGTTCCACAGGTGGTACATGACGCCACATAAACTAGGAAAATATTATAAAAATATAAACGCGAAATGTTGGAAGTGTGAGGAAGTGGAAGGAACATTCTACCACATGTGGTGGTCATGTAAAAAAGCATTTTGGAAGAAAATACTTGAAAATATGCAAAAATATTAAAAATAAAGCTACCACTCAAACCAGAAATATTTTTATTAGGAATTAATGAACAAAAATTGGACAGTAACATAGACAAGCTTCTCTTCTTATTAACAACAGCTGCAAGAATATGCTATGTGAGATTATGGAGAAAAAGTGAAATACCTAAAATTGAAAATTAGAATAAGAAGATTATGAAATATGATTATGAAATATGGACAGACTAACCTACTTGATACAACAATATAAAGAAAATATACAAAAAGAGATGGATTGGACACTGATCACTGAATACTTTTAAGTAAGAAAAATTAAGTAAGACAAATAAAAGAATAGAAACCATCCACACACAAAGAAGGAGATTCTACAAAAGAAAGGGAGAAAAAGAGATAAGAAGAAATACAAAGGTTGAAGAAGAAGGAAAAGGAAGAAAAAAACCTCCAGGAAGGATCCCAGAAGTGGAACCAATATTTCGCTCTTTTTCTTTTCTATTTTTTTCTCTCTCCCCCCCCCTTTTTTCCTCCTCCATTCTCATCTCCTTTCCCTTTACCTCGCCTCTGTTTGTGTTTTGCACTGTGCTTTTAAATTTTATCTTTGTATTATGTAATTACTTAATAAAGAATATTTAAAGAAAAGGGGGATGCAGGAAATTGAGAACTTTTATTTTTCTTTCTTTTTTGAAATGGACAGTGAACAGACCTCCTCAAAGTAGATGGAAGTTTCAACAATCCTTTATTCCTTATTCTTTAGTCCCCTCCTTCTTCTTCTTCTTCTTCTTCACTTTCTTTCTTTCTTTCCTTTCCCTACACTCTTTCCCTTTTGGACTACCTCTCCCTTTTGCCCAAATCTTTTAATTCTTTTTGAAAATGCGTTTGGTTTTCAATAAAAATTATTGTTTTACAAAAAGTAGGTTATGATGGTGTAAAAGCTGGGCTTATGCCATCATAACTCACTAATAGGATGCCACCAAGTTTAAAAAGTGGGGGGGGGGGGACGGGGACGACAAGTCACCTCACTGGCATGGCGTATCTCTTGGCCATACTTTGGCTATGACTTTCCTTTTGTGCTTTTGTTTCAGACTCCCTTGTGAGAGTGTCTGCTGAAATTTCGCTGCATGAGATCAAAAGAGAAGAAGAACACACCGCATAAAGGGAGTTCTCCATATTCTATGTGAAAAACCAAGCCGCCCTCGCCAGATGACTCCATCCAGACCTAGGCCAGGAGGAACTAATCCTTTTGGCAGCCAGCTCGTGCAGTGCTCCAAGTCAAGTTTCGATCTTTTGCTTGTTTTGTCCTACATGTTGTGGCTCTCCTGCTTTTGATTCTTTCCTCTGTCTTTGTGCTGGACAGGGAGTTTGTAACTTCAAACCCACAATACGGGAAACAAGTCTAGATGAGGAGGACAGGAGTACAGTGGGTTCTTCATTTATAGCATGATAATAGAATCAAGATGATTTAGGAATGAGCTTCAGTGGGCAAGAAATACCTTGAGCACCAGGAAAGGCTGGAGAAAAAAAGGGGGTGGGCTTATATATCTTGACCACAGTCCCATTTGTCTCATAGGGATTTTTCTTGGGAACTGTAGTGGATGCTTCCTTGTCTGTTGCATCATCATGCGTATTTGCAGGTGAATGGAAGCAACCAGAAGGGCTTTATTTCTCTTGTGGCCATAAGCAAGCAACAGATGCTTAAGATCCTCCCTTTTGAGTCAGATTCTCTCTTCTGGGACCTTCAGCACTAGATGAATATCAAGATGAGGGAGTGCTTCAAATAATAAGATGGTAGAGTGATGCAGGAAGACAAATCCTTGGAAGAAATTTGAGTACAGTTTAGTCTGGAGAAGAGATCAGTGACAGCTCTCTTCAAGTACCTAAACCAATACCATTCCCCTCCTAATCATCCTCAGCTGGTGCATGGCAGCAATTTTGGGTACCACAATTTAAGAAATATATGAACAAATTGGGGCATGGAAAGCAAATCATGTCAAGCTGCCATGTTGGGAGAAAGGTGGGATAGAAAGAAAGGAAACAAATGAATAAAATAAGGTTGGAGAAAGCTTTTTAGCTTGGAAAAGGAAGTGGAGAGACAGTGGCCATCTTCTGATACCTGTGGGAGTGTCTCAAAAGAGAGCAAGGATATGTTTAAGATGGCAGAACTAGATTGAATGGCCATTAGAGAGGAGGGCTTTTGGCTGAACATTAGGAGAAATCTCTTGAGAGTGAGAGCAGACTGAGAATGGAACTATTTGTTTATAAGGTGAGGTAGCTTTCCCTTGTTGGAAGTCTTCAAGAAGGTGCTGCTAAGCAATTTTTTAGGTACGCTTTAGTTCAGGACTACAAATACATACATACATACATACATACATACATACATACATACATATCTCTCACCTTGTCCCATAACTAGTAGAAACATGGGGGATTACAAATGGAAGACTCACCTTGTAAACGTCTGTAAGTCAGGGAACTTAATGCACTTCATTTACAAGCACCTTTGTCGAAATTCTGTCATGTTATACTTACATTATACAACACTACCCTTGCAATTCTAGCAGGTACTATTGAGCCAACTTTGGTTGTGAAAGGGGTTCTTGAAATATGAAATTTGCTGCTATTTTATTGACCAGAGTGAGAAAGTTTTGCCAATCTGTAAAAGACCAGTAGGTCCTGATTTACCTCAGTAGGTTTTAAATTGTAACTCAGTTGGAAAAAGAAGGCACAAATATCACTCAATCAATGTGACCTGTCCCCTTCAAGGATGTAATGTGTCTAACAGTTATACTGGCTAAGGCAAAGTGGGAGTCCTTTCTTTACTTGGGATATATTTTGTTGTAGAACCCACCTAGAACTAAACCTACGCTATGTGTGCATTTGACAACAAAACGCCTGTGCCATGACAAGCAATGCAATCGCTTGCTCCATTTGTGGATTTTGTAACATGCCAAAATGGTAAAGGGGGAAATGCTCTTAACAAATTGATTGCTTTTTGCCATGGGGTAGCCATTTTGCCCCAGGTGAATGAGTGATGGAGATGATTTTCCTTGAAATGATGTAACTGTGGCTGTGACTTTTTGCTTAAAGAATAAAAAATATGTGTTTGAATGACAATGTTCATGTCTGCCTTTTGTATTTTTCAGATGAGGTGGGCATCCCTTTCCAAAATCTCTCTCTCTCTCTCTATATATATATATATATATTATTTTAGGACATACACAAACACAACAGTTATAATTCCCTCCACCGCCACAAGGATTATTTTCTTTCACATATTAATCCTTTTGGAGACAATCCTTCTAGATTTACATACTGTATAACATTTGTATTCTATTTCTTATGACCTGATCTCTAGACTTATTCATGATATAGTATAATCCCTTTCCAAATTCAATGCAATTTATTTCTGGTCAGTTTTCTGCTATGCTTAAAGAGTGTGACAAGTGTCACTATATGGCCAGCCAGTTCTCTGGCAGGAGATGGGTGCAACGCCCCCCTTCTTCTGTTCTATAATAACCAACCCACAGAAATGTAACTAGAGCAGACTCTTGGGGTGCATCTCCACTGTGGAATTAAAACAGTTTGACACCACTTTACCATGGCTCAGTGCTATGGGTTCCTCGGAGTTGTAGCTTGACAAAGTTTCTTGTGTCCTCTATCAAATAATGCTCCAACCACTCATGATCCCTAAGATTAATCAGAGCATTAAAGTGTTGTCAAGCTGCATTAGATGCAGCCTCAGTTAACCAGAACTTTCAAGCAACCGCAAAAAAAACAAAAACAAAAAAAACCAAATACATAATGCTTTGAATACAATTAAAATAAATTTTTAGCAGAAAGGTGACATTAAATATGTCTTCATTTGCTTTTAGTTACTGTCTTTTAATATGAATCTCAAGTGAATGCAAAATTTATGGTATGGCATAGTATGGGGTATAGTATTAGGCCCACTTTTAATAGTAGCTCTGAAGTAATCAGAAAGTTATTATTATTATTATTATTATTATTATTATTCCACCTCTCCTTATCCAGCATCTACCAATCCCATTGGGTGCTGGTTTATTTGTGAATCTACTGCAATAACTGGAAGTAAATTAATGTTTATCATATTAATGACTAGCAAGATGCAACCTCAATTAACCAGAACTCTCAAGCAACTTTTTTTTATAAAAAATCAAAGGCATAATGCTTTGAATACAATTAAAGTACATTTTTTGCAGAAACCTAACATTCAGGGCACACAGCCCTATATTCCAGAATATCAAGGCAGCAAAATCCCACATTATCTGAGTGTGGACTCAGATAACCCAGTTCAAAGTAGATATTGTGGGATTTTCTGCCTTGCTATCCTGGGATATAGGGCTGTGTGGAAAGACCCTAAGTTTGCCTTTATTTGCTTTTAGTGTCTGTCTTTCAGTATGAATCTCACTGCCGTACTCCAGAGCAGAATCACCTCTGACTTTAAACACCACACCAGCTGGGTAAAATCAGCAAGCAGTTTATTTAGGAATATATGTAGCTAAAGCAGTAAAAAGTAATCCACAGTAAAAAGTAATCCAATTGATACAAAGGAAGACAGGAACAAATGTTGGCCCCAATTTAGGAGGCAACCTCTGGCAGTGAGACCAGGAAGAAGCCTGTTGGCAGACACCCAGACAAGTGATAAGTCTGAGCTGCCCCTTTTCTCTGAGTCCCTGCTGTGGCAAGCATACAGATCAGCCCCAATTAAAATCATCCAGCAGCAAGGTGAGAAGGTAATTTCAGCCAAGGAAGATTTTATTATCTGCAGATAAGATCCTAGCTTGTGATAAACTGACAAAGAAGCTGGAATAGCCCGTATACAGAAATACAGCCTCTTTTATACACAATAATTTCAAATTTCCCACTGCAGCAACATCAGCTATAGCAAAGTCCATTGGACAAGTCTCCCAATCCTGACCAATCACAAAAAGGGGTCTTTGCAGAACAGTCGGCTTGTGAAGAGACAAAGGGCGTTGAGTGGCAGTGAATGGGTTACCCTTTATTCAACAGGAAAAATAATAAAAATGATTGAGGGCACTTAGCCCTACCCAGGAAAAGTTTATTGTGTGCCGGATGGTCATGGCAGAGCCCCACCAGGGGGCCAACCCAGGGCAGTGGCCCTGAATCATGGTAGCTCAAAACAGGCGAGAGGTCCCGTACACAAAGGCGCATTGTGAAGAGTAGCTACTTCCCCCAAGGCGAGCAGGAAAAGGCAATGGGGCCATCTTGTCCTGTCCATTGGGCTATTGTGTTACATATGTCTAGATAATGTCCATAATATGGGTGAGGCTGGGAATTGATTGAAGAAATCCCCAGCTTGGAGTCTTTTCTCGCAGGCTGTATGATCACATGGGATGCAGGACTTCCTTTTGGGGGTCAGGAATACAGTTTCCCATCCAGGGAAAGGAACAGGAAATCTCAGAAGCACAAAATATATTAGTAACATACCATAGGAACACATAGGAAAAGGTGCAGAATTTTTAGGGCATTTTTCATGCACATGAGAGACATAGTTTTCCCAAGTGCGTACAGATATCCTAGCCAGGCTAACTTGTATGTAGATCAAGGCAGGAGGAAGGGAAAATTCATAGAAATAATACAATTCCATACTGGGGAAAGGGGAACATGCAGACTGGGCTTTTGGGGGGACAGAAAGGCAGGAAGGTCACACATTGCAAGGATGCGAACATATAAGGAAAACAACTTTAGAACATATGATTATTCAGTAGGTAAAGAGTTCTTTTTAACAGCAGTCCTGGGCGCCGTAGTTTCTCAGGCTTGGAAAACATAGTCTTCAGAATCCCTGGGTTGAGTTAGGTCCCAAAACAGACCAGAGAGTGTGCTCTGAGACAGGGAGGATGGCAGGAGAGAAATACAAAGAGCAGAGAGGTGTTAAACTATCAAAGGCTTTCTAATGAGGGAACCAGCTATCCGGAAAGAGAAGAAAAGAGGAAAGGCTGAATTGCAGCAAGGAGAGGTACATGATGGCTGGAAAAGATACATTACAGCAAGGAGAGGACAAGAGAAGCACAGAGTTCAGGGTAACCAATTTATTAAGGGATCATAGGCAGTCTGCAGCTAGTTTCCTGATTGTCTGAACATGTGCAGAGCCAAACAAGTACACTTTAAGTGCCTGCAGTCTTTGGAACTCCCTGCTGCAGGCATGAAAGAAACAAACAATAATTTTGCCCAGGGGGGTTTCATGCAACACAAAGAGTCCAATGAAACCCATGAAACTAGGCACTTGAATCCATTTTTATTTATTTTTATTTATTTGTCGTGTCAGAGCAACCAGTCCATTATATTACATTTCTAACAGAACAAAGCAAACAAACAGACAAATACAAAACTTGTGAGTTTGGTAGTTGGTTAAATGTTCTTTCACAGTATCTGGCCACTTGGAGTGCTTCCGCTGTTGCTGCAAGAAGGTCCTCCATTGTGCATGTGGCAGGGCTCAGGTTGCATTGCAGCAGGTGGTCAGTGGTTTGCTCTTCTCCACACTCGCATGTCGAGGATTCCACTTTGTAGCCCCATTTCTGAAGGTTGGCTCTGCATCTCGTGGTGCCAGAGCGCAATCTGTTCAGTGCCTTCCAAGTCGCCCACCGGAGCATTGCAGCGCACCCAAATACCTGGGAGTCACTCTGGACCGTGCTCTTACCTACAAGAAGCACTGCCTGAACATCAAGCAAAAAGTGGGTGCCAGAAACAATATCATACGAAAGCTGACTGGCACAACCTGGGGATCACAACCAGATACAGTGAAGACATCTGCTCTTGCGCTGTGCTACTCTGCTGCTGAGTATGCATGCCCAGTGTGGAACACATCTCACCACACTAAAACAGTGGATGTGGCTCTTAATGAGACATGCCACATTATCACGGGGTGTCTGCGCCCTACACCACTGGAGAAATTACACTGCTTAGCCGGTATTGCACCACCTGACATCCGCCGGGAAGTAGCAGCCAATAGTGAAAGGACCAAGGCAGAGACATCTCCAGCTCATCCCCTGTTTGGGTATCAGCCAGCACGTCAACGACTTAAATCTAGAAATAGTTTTCTAAGATCTACAGGGACACTCGCTGGAACACCTCAGCAAGCGAGAGTCCAAAAGTGGCAGGCTCAAACCCAGCACCTCAACCAATGGCTGATACCAAATGAGAGACTCCCTCCTGGGCACTTGAATCCATGAACAAAACAGAAGCATATCCCATAGGCAAAACATGAGCTAGGCAGATCTTGGTGCTTGAAACTTGGTGTTATTCCGACGTTGCTTCAACTAAAGCAATCGTCCCTCACAAATCACTTATAAACTCTTCCCTGACTCCAAAAGTGCTAGGAATGGATTAGTTTCAGTTTACTATCTATCTTCTGTTGAAGCCTAGCTGAGCATCTTAATTGCTGTCTCTGTTTACTAAAACTTCTTTTCCTGTTCAAGGTCTCACTCCCATCATTAACTCCTGCATCTGGTACCTCAAAATCAGTTTCATTTTCAGATAATTGACCAGGGAACTGCGGTGAAAGGCCTTACCAAACTCTGGGAACTTGAGAATCCTCTTGCAGCAACTCAGATCTCTCTGGCCTCACTTTCAAACCCCATTCAGGCCCAAGCAACCCTTCATCCCCAGACCCTGGCCCAATAACCAGATCAACATCACCATTCCCTTCATGAAACATCAACATGAACATCATCCCCATTCCTATCATGAATATCAACATGAATATCAGACACAATCTCAGGCTGATATACAACACTCACATCAATACAAAGTTTAAGGTATGGCATAATATGGGGTATAGTATTAGGCCTACTTTTAATAGTAACCCTGAATAATAATAATAATAATAATAATAATAATAATAAGTAACACAATTTGAAGAAGGCTCTCCATGAACAGTTCCTGGGAAAAATTGAGAGCCAAATTGACAAAGAAAAAACATGGATGTGGCTCACAAATGGAACTTTGAAAAAGGAGACAGCGGGCCTGATTCTGGCAACCCATTAGACAAATGCCATCAAAGACAGAATTGAAAAGTCGATAACAGATCCCAAATGTAGACTCTGAGTCTGCAAGGAAGCAGATGAAACAATAGATCATATCCTCAGGTGCTGCAAGAAGATTGCGCAGACAGACTACAAGCAGAGACATAACACCGTTGCTCAGATGATTCATTGGAATTGGGTGCAGTGCCTAAAGACCTTGGCCTGCACTTAAATACAATTGACGCTGACAAAATTACCATCTGCCAGCTGCAGAAGGCCACCTTACTGGGATCTGCACACATTATTCGCAGATACCTCACACAGTCCTAGACATCTGGGAAGTGTCTGACATGTGATCCAATACAACAGCCAGCAGAATGATCTCGTTTGCTGTGGAATCATCTTGTTGTGTTTCAAATAATAATAATAATAATAATAATAATAATAATAATAATAATACTATGTAACACAATTTGAGAAATATTCTGTTCCTGGTTTGAAAGTGTTATTCCTGTTTAATTGCAGTCCGTACTTTGAAAGTCATTGTTCTACTCCAGAAACTTCGTTTTTGTGGCTGCTGCAAACTATGTTGAATTGGTTGAGACTCGATGAGATATTCATTGAAAAACTATAGCAACAAGTTCTCTAGCAGGATGTCCCACAGAAACAAAGGTTTTGCAGTTGAATAAATGTTTCCCATGTTTCTATGAAAGAGCCAATTAGGAAATGACATTTCTAACCCAGAAACAAAAATTGTGTTGCAAAGTGTTGTTATGATTACTCGCCTCTCCTTATCCAGCATCTACCAATCCCCCTTGGGTGCCAGTTAACCTGAGAGTCTACTGTAATAACTGGAAGCTAACAAATGTATCTCATATGAGTGACTTGCAACTATAAACAGCATTATTCCCTACATCTGCTATTTGCTCTCAGCCATGTACTCGGGGATTGAGCACAAATGGAAAATAACAAAAATGAAAGCCAGTCCTGTGGGTCTTTCATACATGGACATTGACAGGCATTTGTATGTGATGCGTAAGCGTCTCTGTTTAGAGCTGCCTTGGCTTTGCTATGCAATCGAGGCCATTGTGCAGGAAGGCGTCTTGCTTTAGTAGCACCTTGCCATTCAGCACCCGAGTTGCCATGGGCAGACGCCACGCTTTGCAGCCTTGATGGAGGACCTTGTTCCCAAAGCCTGACTCATCCAAACAACGCTCTCAGGAAGAGCGGTGGGGAGACAAAAGCACCTGCACAGGAGGCTCTCTTTTTGTTAACCCATGGCTTCCCATGAGATTGAGTGGTAGATGCTGGGGAACGGGCATTTCTGGATGCTTGAGAGTCACTCTTTAAAATAGGCTTAACTCAGACTGTGCCATACTAGTATAAACTCTGTATTGACTTGTGGTTCATATTGAAAGACAATCCCTAAAAGCCAAGGAGGACAAACTCAATGCAATGCAACCATCTTTTACAGCTTTTGATTTAAAGGATTCTTGGATCGATTTTTTGCCAGTTGCTTGAGTTCCAGTCAACAGAGAGTCTACTGTGCGATCTGGTCAGTGAGCTTTGGCATTCCCATTTGCATTTGGACTTTCTTCTTCAAGAAACTATCCCTAAATATAGTCTCTCTTTGGTGAGCTCTCGGTGTGTCTGCACTGTTGAATGGATGCCATGGAATCTGGGATTCTGTCCTTTGGTGAAGGCCTTGTGAAACTATAACTCCCACCATTCCAAAGATTGAGCCACAGCAGGGAAAGGAGTGTCAAATTGCACAGAGATTGCCAAATTTATATATTTGGGCCTCGTTTGTATTTTTGGTTAGTAACTTGGAAGAAGTTACCTCAGGCCAGCAGTATTTTTTCAACCAGTTTTTTGTAAATTAATAAAAAAAAAGACTTGTATAGGTTGGTTTGTTGTTTTCCTGGTGAAAACATGGGCTAGGACACTGAGGTGCTGAAGGGAACGTGCGAATCCATTGTTGTTTATTTGTTCAGTTGCTTCCAACTCTTCGTGACCTCCTGGCCCAGCCCACACCAGAGCTGTCTGTCTGCCATGGCTGCCCCAGCTCCTTCAAGGTCGAGTCAGTCCCTTCAAGGATGACATCCCTCCATCTTGCCCTTGATCCACCCTTCTTCCTTTTTCCTTCCATTTTCCCCAGCATTATTCTCTTCTCCAAGCTTTCCTGTCTTCTCATTACTACTGGGAATAACACTGCTTTAACTATGCTGGACCTTCGTTGCCAGTGTGATATCTCTACTCTTAACTCTTTTATTGAGATTGGTCATTGCTCTCCTTCCAAGCAATGACCAATCTCGATAAAATAGTGAAGAGACATCACACTGACAACAAAGATCCGCATAGTTAAAGCAATGGTATTCCCCGTAGTCACCTACGGATGTGAGAGCTGGACCATAAGGAAGACTGAGCAAAGGAAGAGAGATGCTTTTGAACTGTGGTGTTGGAGGAAAGTCCTGAGAGTGCCTTGGACCGCGAGAAGATCAAACCAGTCCATACTTCAAGAAATAAAGCCCGACTGCTCATTGGAGGGAAGGATATTAGAAGCAAAGATAAAGTATTTTGGCCACATAATGAGAAGACAGGAAAGCTTAGAGAAGACAATGATGCTGGGGAAAATGGAAGGAAAAAGGAAGAGGGCCAACAAAGGGCAAGATGGATGGATGTTATCCTTGAAGGGACTGGCTTGACCTTGAAGGAGCTGGGGGTGGTGATGGCCAACAGGGAGCTCTGACGTGGGCTGGTCCATGAGGTCACAAAGAGTCGGAAGTGACTGACTGAATGAATGAACAACTCCTCCCAAGAAGGAAATGTCTTCTGATTTCCCAGCTGCATTCCACATTTGCAGTAATTTTCGCACCTAGAAATACAAAGTCTTTCACGACCTCCACGTTTTCTCCCTCTGTTTGCCAGTTATCAATCAGTCTGGTTGCCATCATCTTGGGTTTTTTTAAATATTTAGCTGCAATCCAGCCTTTGCACTTTTTTCTTTCACCTTGGTTAGAAGGTTCCTCAGCTCCACCTCGCTTTCAGCCATCAAAGGGGCATCATCTGCATATCTAAGATTGTTAATGTTTTTTCCAGCAATTTTAACTCCAGCCCTGGATTCATCAAGCCACACACATCGCATGATGTGTTCTGCATACAAGTTGAATAGGTTGGGTAAAAGTATACAGCCCTGCCATACTCCTTTCCCAATCCTGAACCAGTCGGTTGTTCCATTGCCTGTTCTTACCGTTGCTACTTGTTCTTTATACAGATTCCTCAGGAGACAGACAAAATGATTTGGTATCCCCACACACCAAGAACATGCTACAATTTATTGTGATCCACACAGTCAAAGGCTTTAGAATAGTCAATAAAACAGAAATAGATGTTTTTCTGAACTCCCTGCCTTTCTCAATTATCCAGCGGATATTGGCAATTTGGTCTCTCCTTCCTCTGCCTTTCCTAATCCCAGCTTGTACATCTGGCAACTCTCTCTCCATGTATTGATGGAGTCTACCGTGCAGGATCTTGAGCATCACCTTACTGGCATGTGAAATAAGTGCCACTGCACAAAGGTTTGGGCATGCTTCAGTGTTTCCCTTTTTGATATGGGGAGATAAGTTGATTTTTTCCCCAATCTGATGGCCATTCTTGTGTTTTCCATATTTGCTGGCATATGGCATGCAACACCTTGATAGCATCATCTTTCAAGAGTTTAAACAGCCTCTTCAAATTCTACAGCACTGCTAGTCACAGCTGACCTCCAGCTGGAGCGCTCAAGGGCCAGGGCTTCCCAGTTCCCAGTGTCTATGCCAGTTTTTAAGGTTGGCTTTGAGCCCATCATTCAATCTGTTTTCCTGCCCACCAACATTCTGCTTTCCATTCTTGAGTTCGGAGTAGAGCAACTGATTTGGGAGACGGTGGCCAGTCCAGCGGAGTTGATGGCGGAGGACCATTACTTCACTGCTGGTGATCTTTGCTTCTTCCAGAACGCTGACATTTGTCCGCTTGTCTTCCCAAGAGATTTGCAGCATTTTCTGGAGTTGCATGTGACATCTGTAGACTGTCCACACCTCGCAAGCGTATAGCAGGATTGGGAGGACAATATCTTTATAAACAAGAACCTTGGCATCCCTACGGATGTCCCGGTCCTCAATCACTCTCTGCTTCATTTGGGAAAATGCTGCACTCGCAGAGCTCAAGCAGTGTTGTATTTCGGTGTCGATGTTGGCTTTTGTGGAGAGGTGGCTGCTAAGGTAGCGGAAATTGTCAACGTTTTCTAATGTTACACCATTAAGCTGTATTTCTGGCATTGGAGAGGGATTGGCTGGTGACTGCTAGAAGAGCACTTTGGTTTTCTCGATGTTCAATGACAGGCCAAGCTTCTCATATGCTTCTGCGAAGGTGTTTAGACTGGCTTGTAGGTCTTCTTCTGAATGTGCACAGATGATGTTGTCATCAGCATATTGGAGTTCTATAACAGATGTTGTTGTGACCTTGGTTTTGGCTTTCAGTCTGCTGAGGTTAAATAGCTTGCCATCTGTCCAATAGATGATTTCCACTCCGCTGGGATGCTTCAAGATGAGGTATCATTGCGATGTAGATGGGAAATAAGGTTGAGGCAGTAACACATCGCTGTTTGACACCTGATTCCACCTTAAATGGTTCACTTTGGGAGCCATTGCTGTCCAAGACTGTTGTCATCATGGAGGAGCCGCAGGATGTCCACAAATTTGTTAGGGCACCCAATTTTTTGGAGGATGGTCCAGAGAGGGAAGGCGTCTTCTGTTTCTCAGAAGGAAGGCAAGAAGAGGGAAGAGAGGGCGAAGAGGACTGGGAGGCAGGTAGGCCAGGAAGAGGAAAAGGGCGGGAAAAGCGCCCAGAGCCCAACGCGCATGCGCTGCCCTAGGACAAAGGTGCCACTGGAACCCCTGTCCGGCCTATGCTGACAGCCCCGCCCTCTCCCCAAACCACGCCCACCTAGCCTCCTCGGCAATTAGCCCCTCCCCGGCCGAGGAGGGATCACGTGACCCCCAAGAAGAGGAAAAGGAAGTGTCCCCGGCGCCGGCTCTGCTGTGTTTTCTGATGCGGTCCGGATGGAGGGGAGGCCGGCGCCTCAGGGAGAGGAAGCGGAGGGTGAGCCGTTCTGCCAAGCCTCGCGCCTCCTCTCTGCCCGAGCAGGCCGCCCACTGCTGCTCCCACCCTGCCCTAGCAGGCGCCTTGGCCATGGAAGGGGTCAAGCGACACGCCTTCCCCAAAGCTGCCCTTCAGGCCCAGGCCACAACGCCCAATACCGCCCCACATTCTCTGCTTGGAACTGCGATATATGGCCGTGGGGACTCAGATAATCCCGTCCAAAGCATAGATTGCGGGATTTATTTATTTCGTATCAAAAGCATTTCATAAATTAGTATAAAAACGATAAGAAAAATAGAAGGAGCGCAGGTGGCTAAATAAAACGGGCAACAGCAACGGCATTGTCGGTAGCCCCCAACAATTCTTCCTCAGTACATGAGGCAGGGCAGAGTGGGCAAGCATACAGATGCGGAGATGTCTGCTCTGCTCCACAGTCACACAAGGTGTGGGATTCTTTTAGGTAGTGCCCTGTTGCCAGGTTGTCTTTTGATCTGCCCACTCCAGTCTGTGCAGGGACTTCCAAGTTGCCCATTCTTGGTTTGCCCCTGGAGGAAGACCCTCGTGGGGGCCATCCAGTTGGGATTTCCTGGTTTAGCTGCCCAGAGGGATACCCTTGCTGTTGCTGGGGGGATGCCAAGAGGAGTGGTAGTTCTCATAAAGCTTTTCCTTGATTTGAGTCTACTGGGAGGAGGCTGGTAGCCATGTAGTGGGTGGCTTTCACAGTGTTCAACCTTATTTCTCTCACATTTAACAGCAACTTCCCGCTGCACATCGTGGGGGGTGGGGGGGGGGATGCCAGCTAGCTTGTAGAGTTTATCAACAGGTATAGGTTTAAGACATCCTGTGATTATTCTACATGTTTTGTTCAATGCTATGTTCACCTGCTTTGCATGGGCAGACATATGCCAAACAGGGCAGGCATACTCGGCAGTTGAGTAGGAAAAGGCTAGGGCTGATGTTTTTATTAATTTTGGGTCTGCACCCCATGTGCTGCCAGTAAGTTTCCCCAGGATGTTATTGCATGCAGCTACTTTGTGCTTGGTGTTCAAGCAGTGTTTCCTATATGCTAGTGTTCGATCTAAGGTGACACCGAGATATTTAGGATGGAAATAATGTTCAAGCTCTTGACCTTCCCAGGTGACTTTTTTAAAACAATTGTGGGATTATCTGCCTTGATATTCTGGGTGATATGGCTGTGTGGAAGGGCCCATCCATGCACATTAAACTGGACTATACGGTAGTGTGGACTCAGATAATCCAGTTCAAAGCATATCTTGTGGATTATCTGCCTTGATATTCTGGATGATATGGCTGTGTGGACAGGGCCCTGGGTTACCTGAGTGGCCTTCCACACAGCCATATATATAACCCAGAATATCAAGGCAGATAATCCACAAGGTTTGCTTTGAACTGGGTTATCTGTGTCCACACTGCCATATCATCCAGTTCAATGTGGGTGTTATACAGCAGTGTGAATGGGGCCTCAGGAAGCCCATTGGGGATTTGGGGTTTTGGATTTCCACATGAGGGACACTCCACCTTTCACAATTATTTATCGTATCAGGAGCAAATCTGTAATGTATTTAAAAAACACAGTTTTAAAAAACTTGGCATTATACTTACTTACTTAGGCGATCCCTCGTTGGACGAGTAAGATGGTCTTCCATTATGGATTTCCCTGTGGGTCCGTATGTGGCTGTGGAGCCCTATTCTTGCTCTGCATTTTCTTCCGCAGTGAGGGCATTGGTTTCCAGGTGGAAGGCGGTCCCGGTCGGGGTTGGCTTGACGCGCCTTCCTCCTGGCACGTTTCACTCTTTCACCCTCCACTCGTGCCGATTATACTAAATGTCCTTTCACCAGTAACTGGCCACTTGGAGTGCCTCTGGTGTTGCCTATAAGGAGGTCCTCCATTGTGCATGTGGCAGGGCTCAGTTGCATTGCAGCAGGTGGTCTGTGGCTTGCTCTTCTCCACACTCGCATGTTGTGGACTGCACTTTGTGGCCCCATTTGTTAAGGTTAGCTCTGCATCTCGTGGCGCCAGAGCGCAGTCTGTTCAGTGCCTTCCAAATTGCACAGTCTTCTGTGTGCCTAGGAATGAGTCTCTCATTTGGTATCAGCCACTGATTGAGGTGCTGGGTTTTAGCCTGCCACTTTTGGACTCTTGCTTGCTGAGGTGTTCCTGTGAGTATCTCCGTAGATCTTAGAAAACTATTTCTTGATTTAAGGCATTAACGTGCAGGCTGATATCCAAACAGGGGATGGTCCAGAGATGTCATTCCTTTAGTCCTTTCATTATTGGCTGATACTTCCCGGTGGATGTCAGGTGGCGCAATACTGGTTATACAGTGTAATTTCTCCAGTGGTGTAGGGCACAGACAGCCCGTGATAATACAGCATGTCTCATTAAGAGCTATATCCACTGTTTTAGTGTGGTGAGATGTGTTCCACACTGGACATACATATTCAACAGCAGAGTAGCCAAGCGCAAGGTCAGATGTCTTCACTGTGTCTGGTTGTGATCCCCAGGTTGTGCCAGTCAGCTTTTGTATGATATTGTTTTTAGCACCCAATTTTTGCTTGATATTTAAGCAGTGCTTCTTGTAGGTCAGAGCACAGTCCAGGGTAACTCCCAGGTATGTGGGTGTGCTGCAATGCTTCTGTGGGGCTCCTTCTCAGGTAATCCTCAGAGCTTGAGATGCTTGTCTGTTCTTAAGATGAAAAGCACGTGTCTGTGTTTTAGATAGATGAGGAATCAGCTGTTTTTCCCTGTAATAGGCAGTAAGAGCAGTTTTTGTTCAACCATCTCAAAGCTCGCTGCTCCCTTTTCAAAATGAAGGCCTGCTCATCTTTTTGTAGGATACCACACATAGGCAGGTGGGCATGGGGATGGGAGGTGGAGAGAATAAAATGCAGAGATACAGGATGGGTGACAGCTTGAAGACAGTCCATGCAAAAGAGACCTTGGGGACCACAGATTGAACCAGAGCCAACAGCCAATGGGATTTGGAGCCGCATCAAACAGAGTACAGTGCCTTTGGGCCTCCAACTCCCAGAGTTCCTGATCATTGAAGAAGTTGGCAAGGGCTTCTGGAAGTTGGAGGCCCAAACAGCTGGAGGGAAACAGTGTAAAGGTGCCTGGTGTAGATCAAGGAATAACTGTGGGTCCAAATCTGGGCCATACAATGTAAAAGGGATAATAGCTTATAACATCATATTATTGGATATTAACATTAGAGGATGTTGACTCTAAGATGGAAAGTGTCCAGAGGAAGAGGGCGAATGAAAGGATCAAAGGTCTGAAGACCATGAATAATCCCCTCTGAAGAGCGTCTTAAAGAGCTGGGTCTGGTTAGCCTCAGAAGAGAAGGCTAAGAGGAGACATGAGAGCCATGGATACATATGTGAAAGGTGTCCTAAGGAAGAGGAAGCAGACTTGTTTTCAGCTGCCCTGGAGAACAGGACTCAATGGAGGAATGGCCTCAAATGACAGGAAAGGAGACTCCACCTGAACATGAGGAAGAACTTTCTGACGATAAGAAGAGCTGTTCAACAGTGGAACTCTCTGCCTCAGAGTCTGGTGGAAGCTCCTTCTCTGGAAGCTTTTAAACAGAGGCTGAATGGCCCTATGTCGGGGGTGGGGGCTTTGATGGTGTTTTTCCTGCATGGCATAAGAGGTTGGACTAGATGGCCCATGTGGTCTTTTCCAACTCTGATTCTATGGTTCTTCCCCAGGAGAGCCCCTCCTCGTGGCAGAGCTGAAACCAGGGCAGCCTCAACCATATGACTGGAAATCCAGCTGTGAGACTTGGAGTGTGGCCTTCTCCCCGGATGGTGCCTGGTTTGCTTGGTCTCAGGGCCACTGTATTGTCAAGTTGCTTCCCTGGCCATTGGAAGGGATAGAGCCGTAAGTATCGGTGGTTTTGTAGCCACGGGGAACTGGTAATGGGGCTGATTGGGATCAACAAACTGGCAGCTCACTCCAGACAGAATGGGTGGCTGGGTCTTCCTGCTGCTGGCTCCCCATTTGTGAAACTGCTCTTTTTCATATTCCATTTTCACAATCAATCAAAATTTTCAAACCCCAATGAGATTGAACTCTGAAACAAGAACCTCGTAATATCCCCCCCCCCCACCATCCCTAGCAATACAGATAACAACCAACTTCTGTCCTTCCTTATTTAAAATAAAACCAAACAGCAAAATAAGAAAAATACAAACAAATACTAAAACCACAGCTGACTTCCCCTCCTCAAGCAAAGGCCATTGTATTACATGTACTTTCATTTCAGCTTCTGCTAAATATAAACTCATACATTTAAGTGCATAGCCATGAGTATATATATAGAGCTGTATCAGAAGTCTTGCATGACTCGTACTCACATTTCTATAGAGATATTGGTCATGTAGTCTTTCATCCCTTTCATCAACAATTTATCCATTTTGACTCAAGTTGCAATTTTTATTCATTTTTGCAAATGCATCTTTACATTAATAATAATAAAATAAAGTGATAATATCTCTTCAAATTTTAGTCCATTTTCATAGACTCATTGATTAATTTAAATGAATCATGTCTTCTTGTAATTTAAATTAATCACATCTTCTCTTATAATGTTCCTCCCAATGTTTTCCTTTTGATCTAATATTTTAATCATTGTAGTCCCAACCTTTTCACAATGTAATATCTTGCTATATTTCCCCCATCATTTTGAACTGTTTCTTGAATGAGAGAAGCTTGGCCTTCTCTGTCTGTATTTCTAGATGGGCATTGGAAGACATTGGTTGGTACTTCGTAGCTGTTAATGTTGAATTGATCTAAAGTGTGTGTTAATCCTGCTACCTTTTTTTTTTTTTTGCACACCGGGGCTCTTAAAGTGCTATACATTAATACACTATTAAAGTAAAGCATTTTTATGGATTAAAATCCAAATTAAAAAACCATGGCCAGATAGAACAAAACAGTTCTGATTGTCTGCCAGCCTGATTTTTCTTGAAGGGTCACTCCACAGTTGAGATTACCCTATATCTTGTGTCCAACATGGGAGCCTTTGAGGGCAGTCTGAATTTGTGTCAAAGAGCTTGCATTTTAGGCAGATTCCTGTGGGATAGGGCAGTTGTTAGCTGTCACAGTCCCAAGACAGACCCAAACCTGCCCATCCATTTTACAGATCTCAGGGGGAGAAGGTAGTGGTGTTAATGTTGTATTGATATAGCTCATACTTTGATTTGGTTGCATGAGGTCCACAGTTCAGTCCATAGCATCACGGTAGACTGGGATGAGCTAGACTCAGTCTGATTTTGTCATTTGGGAGTTGTAGTTGCTGGGATTTACAGATCACCTACAATTAAAGAACTCCACCAAAAATGAAATTGAACCAAATTTGGCACACAGAACTCCCATGACTAAGAGAAAATACTGGAAGGGTTTGGTGGGAATTAACCTTAAGTTTTGGAGTTGTAGTTCACCTACATCCAGAGAGCACTGTGGACTCAAACAATGACAGATCTGGACCAAACTTGGCACAAATACTCAATATGCCCAGATGTGAACACTTGTGGAGTTTGGGAAACTAGACCTTGACATTTGGGAGTTGTAGCTTCTGGGATTTATAGTTCACCTACAATCAAAGAGCACTCAATGTATCTGCCCACAATGTATCTGCACCAAACTTGACATACTATCTACATGACCAACATTGAATACTGGTGGGGTTGGGGGGCTGTTTTTGAATTCTGGGAGTTGTAGTTCACTAACACGAAAAAGGAAGAGAAGGACAGGCAGAAGAGATCTCCAGCCTTCTCTGCCAAAGGGGATCCTAAGACCATCAAAACATATGTGTTTTCTGATGGTATTTAGTGACCTCTCTGAAACCCCCATGTGAACCCCAGGTTAAGAAACTCTGATCTAAAGCAAAGATTCTGGAGTCCAAAAAGACAATTCCTTCGTTCCGATGTAAGACTGTCAAACTTTTATACAGCAGTTTGTTTTGAGTTCCTCCACTTTTTCACCAGGAATGGAAGACACCTAATTAGACGATGTGCTTTTGAGTGGCTTTCCCTCTGCTTGCTTCTGTCAGGATCTGCAAAACTTTAGAGTGCAAGAGCCAGTACCCAAAAGCAGAGGCCAAGGGCCGAGGCGGCTCCAACGAGAAGACCTTGGAATGTGGGAAGATCGTCTGGGGCCTGGCCTTCAGCGCTTGGATTCCTAGCCACCCAAGGAAACACAGCCTGCAGGGGCCAAGTGCTTCCTGTTTGGTCCTGGCCACAGGATTGAATGATGGACAGATTAAAATCTGGGAGGTCCAGACAGGTAAATTGACTCAATTGCCGTTTGCTAGAAAGGCAGAATTGCTCCAGAAACCATTCCGTTGTCATCTGCAATGCCATTTAAAACTGTAATTTGTATTTATATGTGTTTTATGTTTTAAATTGAATACTGTTTTTTAATTGTTGTAAACCGCAATGAGTCGCCGACTTAGGCTGAGATATTAGCGGTATACAAGCGTATAAATAAATAAATAAATAAATAAATAAATAAATAAGTAAACCGTGACAGAGAGGTGTAATTGGACAGGAACAACAATTGCTCTCTGAGGACATGACATGTTCTTGTGATGGGCACTAAAGTTGACCTATTGACAAAGCATGACCGCTTGCAATTGTTGGGTCATTTCCAGAAAGCAAAAAGCATTTTAAAATGTCAAATCAGTACCAACAGCAATAGCAGCAGCAGCAGCTCAGAGGCTCCTTGAGCACAGCAGTAGACCGAAGGAGCTTCAGCAATGACAGGAGCAGAGCCAAGCTTTAAAAGGCACAAAAGACTTTATTGAAAGATCTGTACTCTACACACTTCCCCGGCCCTTTGCTACTAGCCCTGGTCCAGCCCTATTATAGCTATTCAGCAGGCCCTGGAAATGAAGAGACCCAGGCACTACCCTGGCCATTAGTTAGGGCCTTGTCAAACAGGGAAAACATAGCAGAACATGGAAATAAATAGCTCTAGGTCCCACCCTGTCCATCAGGTAGGCCTTGCTTGCTCTTTACCCACTCCCTGGGCCCTAGTCTACTTTGTTGTAGTAGCCCAGCCCTCTCATAGTTGTCGAGGCCCACTCTCCCATCCCTACCATTGAATTTTGCACTTTCCCTATCTAGGAGTTTTGCACAAACTCAGAGCCTTCTAAAGTCAGCACTTTTATTGCTCCCATGGTACTCTTCATGATGTTATGGTTTATTATGATATGTTTCTATTTGGTTTTGTTTTGTTTTTATTTTATTGCATTATATTTTAACTCTGTACTCTCTGGGCTTGTCCCTTTGTAAGCCGCACCGAGTCCCTTCGGGGAGATGGAGACGGAGTATAAAAATAAAGTTGTTGATGTTGTTGTTATTATTATTATTATTATTATTATTATTATTATTATTAGGAATCTTGGCCATTGGAAGCTGAGCTGCCTGATGTAATTAGTACTGAACTGGCTTTTAATATTTTAAATAAGTACGATTGTTATATAGTACTATGTTTATACTTTTTAGAATGACTTTTTGCATGTTTTTATGTTGGGAATTGCTATGCTTTATCATGCTGGAAACCGCCCTGAGTCCCCCCGGGGAGACAATGGTATACAAATAGAGGATTATTATTATTATTATTATTATTATTATTATTATTATTATTATTCTATATTCATGCTCACAGGAGAAGAACAAACTGGAATACTCAGGGACTTGCCATGGGCTCAGAAAAGGAGGCGTGTCTCTGAGAAATTTCAGTCAGAGAGGCAGACACAGAGGGCGGGGGGGGGGGGTATCCCTTCCAGCTAATTCGCCTGCTTATCTATTTCCTTGATGAGGACTATAAACTTGTGCAAAATGTGGTTGAGTTCCAACAGTAATATGGGAGTGGAGTCCCTTGTTTGTTCCAGGGCTGAATTCCAGTCTTCAAGGGGCTAGGGTGGCATTCTTGCATTGAATCAAACCAAAGGCATAGTGTGGAACCAAAGGAAGATAAAGCTTACCAATGTGCTCTCGCACAAGAGCTTTAAGCACAGTTTGATTCTGAATGTGTTTTCTCAGGAGACAGTCTCTGTGCGCATCCTTCCCTCAAACCAGAGCTCTTGTTTGAGGCAAAAACCCTTCTATTATGTTTAATACCTTCTTACTTCTGTTCAGAGACAAGGACAGACGGCTCAGTGGGCTGGCCAGGCAACTTCCGAAGGCCAGTTCCCCTCCCTTAACATAATGGCAGCGCAGCTAGTTTAACGCCTCCGAAAGCAGTCATTTCTGGCGCCCTGCTGGGAGCAACTCACAAAGCCTATGGCAGGCGCCCGCTCATACAGCTGCTTAGAGAATGGCAACCGGGATGGAGGCCCCCCCCCCCCCCCCCCCCCCCCCCGCTGTGCCGCTGCATCCAAGCCACTCTCCCTGCTTCCTTGATGGAGAAGCTTGGTCTTCTCTTCTTTGCAGAAAGCTCTGGAAAGCACCTGCTGGGAGTAACCCCTGCTGTCATTCACCAGAGCCTTCGGAAAGACTCTTTGAAGTCTTCAGCCTTTGCCAGGAGGATTGGCAATGATCTCTGGAGGGAACCGAAACAGGAAGGCCCTTTACCAAATCTTGCTGCGAGTCAGAAGGATCTTTTCTTCATCGTTGCTCAGGGATAGGCAGATTTCTGGCTAGCAGGATCTCCTGTTTTCCCTCGGAGCACAAAAATCTATAGCAATAGTGCAAGCAAACCCTTAGGATCAAAACTCAGGGTGCCTCCAACACATGCCTGGCTCACAGCTGGGAAGCTTTTTTTTTTCATGTCAGGAGCGACTTGAGAAACTGCAAGTCGCTTCTGGTGTGAGAGAATTGGCCGTCTGCAAGGACGTTGCCCAGGGGACACCCGGATGTTTTACCATCCTGTGGGAGGTTTCTCTCATGTCCCCGCATGGGGAGCTGGAGCTGACAGAGGGAGCTCATCCATGCTCTCCCCAGATTCGAACCTCCGACCTGTCAGTCTTCAGTCCTGCTGGCACAAGGTTTTAACCCATTGCGCCACCAGGGGCTCCTGGGACGTGACATTGAGGGATGACAAGCCCCAGAATCCCCCAGCATCAGGGCCAGTGACCAAATGCCTGGGAGAATTTTGGGACCAAGTCTTTTTGCTGGGCCCTGACTCCATTCTGGGATTCATTTTCTCCTTTGCCCACTCCAGCTTTCATTATTTTATCAGAGAGAGGATTTTGTATTCTTCGACCACAGAGAAAGAAATTTAATGATTTACTCCAGGTCACTTGGAGAACTACCAGTCCATTTGGATCTCCCTTTTTGTTTGCCCCTGCCTTAAGGTCCCACAGAGATTCCAAAAGGTGACTCAATCAATAAGGAGAAGAGTTTGAACCAGGGGCAAGAATTGCTCAGCCCACATCCACATGCACCAGAAAGGATATCTGCAGCCATGGCACACAATCCCTAGCCATTTTGGAATTCTGTGCAAAAACAAATGTGCCTGTAGAAGTCTCAGTGAAATGTTATTCTCCAATTAGTTCCCAACCCCATCCTCCCTCAAATGGACACCAGACTTTTTCAGAATTGGCCAAGTGTGTCCATTGATGGTCTTACAATACGTGGCAGTGGTTCTAGACTTTCCACAACTGACTGCCTCAAAATGTCAGCCAAACTACATGGACTGAAAGGGAGTTCCTAGGTTGCCTCTCCTACCCCATCACCAGTCAGGAATTGATCTTGTCCTAAAGGAGAATCATCATTCAGTTCCTGTTGAGATTTGTTTTGTCTGGGAAGGGTTGGTTTACTGTGTGTTCCCGTTTGTAGGTTGTTTGCTGTTCAACCTCTTGGGGCATCAAGATGTGGTGAGGGACCTCAGCTTCGTCCCTGGTGAGAGCGGTTCAGTCCTGGTCTCTGCCTCCCGCGACAAAACCCTGCGCGTCTGGGACCTGAGCCAGAATGGTAGGAGCGAGCAAAGGGGTCTCTGTATGTTGCAAGTATCTTTGGGTGGGACTTTGGGCCAATGCCGGGGTCCTCAGTTCTACCACTGGACTGAGTCTTCCCACCGCTTTCCAGGCCCAACGTCAGTCCAATAAGATTTTTATATTCACCAAGCCTGGGAGCATCCAAGCCTACACTGGGCACTAAATGTCTTAGAATAAATAAATAAATAAATAAATAAATAATATTGTTTGTATGGGATGGCTCAGTTTTCATATCGCTCAATTTTTCTGGCTGTTGCCGTGATTTGTTGTTTCACAATTTCAAGAAGTACTTCAATTTTTCTTGTCTTCAGTCAATATTTTTAATCAGGTTATTCTTTGTTTTGACATTCTTCAGTTTTTGCTCCTTCATGTTCTTTAAATTGCTTGCATCTTGATTTTTAACTCCAACCTTATTTTCCATTTTGGTTTTCCAGTCATTTTTCTTGCGGGTTTCAGTTGTTGTATCCCCAGTTCTTGTGTTACAATCACTGCTTTACTGTATGCAAGCTGGTTAGTTTCTTCCATTGTTGCTATCTGAACAGTTGCAGTGCAGCATTCACATCATTCATGAGAGGTGCCAGATGTTTTCTTGGTACTGTCTTTAATGTCAGCAGTCTGCCTTTCTTCCTTCAATGCAACATGGCAGATTATGTGAAAGGCAGTCAAGAACAAACATTGATGGAAGTCAGTAGTAGTAAACTGCTTCAAGTGCAAAAGACAAAGAGCGAATACCGGAAAAATACAATGCAGAGCAGAAGATAAAACTGACAAAAGAAGGCTCTCCATGGACAATTTCTGGGAAACATTGAGAGCAATATAGACAAAGAAAAAACTTGGCTGTGGCTCACAAATGAAACTTTGAAAAAGGAGACGGAGGGCCTGATTCTGGCATCCCAAGAACAAGCCATTAGAACAAATGCCATCAAAGCCAAAATTGAAAAGTCAACGACAGATCCCAAGTGCAAGGAAGCGGATGAAACAATAGATCACATCCTCAGCTGCTGCAAGAAGATCACGCAGACAGAATGCAAGCAGAGGCATAACACCGTTGCTCAGATGATTCATTGGAACTTGTGCCACAAATACCATCTGCCTGCGACAAAGAACTGGTGGGATCACAAGCCGGAAAAAGTTACAGAAAATGAACACGTCAAACTACTCTGGGACTTCCGAATTCAGACAGACAGAGTTTTGGAGCACAATACTCCTAACCTCACAAACGTGTTAAAAAATCAAGTATGGATTGTTGATTTTGCAATCCCAGGTGACAACAAGATTGAAGAGAAACAACTAGAAAAGCTGACATGATATGAGGATTTAAAGATCGAACTGCAAAGACTCTGGCACAAGCCAGTCAAGGTGGTCCCAGTGGTTATCGGCACACTGGATGCAGTGCCTAAAGACCTTGGCCTGCACTTAAACACAATCGGCGCTGACAAATTTACCATCTGCCAGCTGCAAAAGACCACCCTACTGGGATCTGCACGTATTGTTTGCCAATACATCACACTGTCCTAGACACTTGGGAAGTGTCTGACGTGTGATCCAGTACAACAGAAGGCAGAGTGATTTTGTTTGCTGTCGACTCATCTTGTGTTTCAAATAATAATAATAATAATAATAATAATAATAATAATAATCTTTATTTATATCTCACCCCATTTCCCCGAGGGGACTTGGAACAGCTTAGAACCAAGGGGCAAACCTACATCCACTGGTCCAGAGCCTGAGGTACAAAACTAGATAGAGCAGCATGTGAAGAAATGTCCAAGACCAGGCTTAATCATCCAGCAACTGGAGAACAACAGACTTAACACCAAATGAAGCCAATGGGTTTAGTTACATAGAATGTAAGGGAAGCTTTAGCATTATCAAAGAGCAGGTGCAAAGGGAGGAGGTCTACTCTCACTTTCTGTTCTAAGCAACTACGATGAGTCAAGCAATCAAGAGGCCAAAAGCTTCACATCTTTGTGTTGTGATGGACACGAAGCTTCTCAAAGTGGCTAATGGCCAGGTTCCTTTTTCTGGGGGGAAATAGAAATACTTTGACTAGACCTTAGGAAGAGCTTCCTGATGATAAGAGCTGTGTAATATGCTGATGCCTGGGAGTCTGGTGGAGTCTCCTCTGGAGGTTTTTAAGCAGAGGCTAGATGGCCATCTATTAGGAGTGCTTTGGTTTTTTTTCTTCCTGCCTGGCAGAAGGGGGGTGGATTGGAGGGCCCTGGGGGTCTCTTCCAGCTCGAGGATGCTGTGACCTCTTCCGGCAAACACATTTACAGGTAATGGCTAGGAAGACTGATGAAACAAGCTGCCTTAACCATTCAGCAGTACAAATTAACTTGCAAATAACAGGTTTTCATGGAATGAATCATGCTTCCAGAGCGGCTGCCTTTGGACTGTGCTTGAGTGTTTAGTAATCTCTCGAACAGCCCGTCCTCGTGCTTTTTATCTTCTTTTCCTTGCACTTTCTTCTCCCTCACCCAACCTTTTCTTTCCTTTGCCAGGTTTTCTCTCTCTTCCTGCCACTGATTCAGTTTCCCCCCGCTCTTGACTCCCCACCCCACAATTACCAGGCACCTGGAGTGCATTTCTCTCGTGCTGTTTTCCCATTTTCCCAAATCCAGACAGCCACATTGGCAGATTATTTGTTCATTATGTAAATTGTGTGGTTGGTCAGGAAAGTGTTGACCAGCAGACACCCCGACTCATTTCCCACTCAAAGGCTTGTTAGATGAGAAAGAAAAGAGTGGGCTTTCTTAATTATTTTTTGCTGTAGTACAGAGGTGTGCAGCCTACAGCTCACAGTATTTTCCAACCACTGTGCCCTGTTTTTCCCCCAACCTTTTCTCCTCACTGAGCTTCTGCCCTTTCAATAGCTGCAAGACATGCAGGTATCCAAGAGGTATGGTTTTCTCAAGAGTAAATATTTGATAAAAGTTTGGGACACTGCTTGAGGCATTTAAAAAGCTGCGTAATGGTGCATATGCTTAGTCTCATGCTAGGATTCTGTCTCTACAGTGAGAGCAAACAGACCAGTGTTACTCATAGCTACTATATAAGGATTGCTGAGCTAACATAAGAAAAGTAGTGGGTTGTTGTAGCCTTTTCAGGCTGTATGGCCATGTTCTAGAAGCATTCTCTCCTGACGTTTTGCCTGCATCTGTGGCAGGTATCCTCAGAGGTTGTGAGGTCTGTTGGAAACGAGGAACATGGGGTTTATATATCTGTGGAAAGTCCAGGGTGGGAGAAAGAACTCTTTTCTGTTGGAGCTAGGTGTGAATGTTTCAATTGGCCACCTTGATTAGCATTTGATGGCCTGACAGTTTTTAGGTGTGGCTTGTTCCTACCTGGGGGAATCCTTTGTTGAGATGTGATTAGCTGTTCCTGATTGTTTCTTGTCTGGAGTTCCCCTGTGTTTGCTTTTTGTTCTTTATTTACTGTTATAATTTTAGAGTTTTTTTTAATACTGGTAGCCAGATTTTGTTCATTTTCATTGTTTCTTCCTTTCTGTTGAAATTGTCCACATGCTTGTGGATTTCAATGGCTTCTCTGTGTAATCTGACATGGTGGTTGTGAGAGTGGTCCAGCATTTCTGTGTTCTCAGATAGTATTCTATGTCCAGGTTGGTTCATCAGGTACTCTGCTATGGCTGACTTCTCTGGTTGAAGATGTCTGCAGTATCTTTCATGTTCTTTGATTTGTGTTTGGACAATGCTGCATTTGTCCACAGCTGCATCGCATACGGTAGACTCCTGCAAAGGTGAGAGGTTCTCTCTAGTCCTTTGCTGAGTGTAGCATTTGTTCGATTTTCTTGGTAGGTCTGTAGATAGTTTGTAGGTTATGTTTCCTCGTCAGCTTCCCTACGCGGTCAGTGGTTCCCTTGATGTATGACAAGAATACTTTTCCTCTCGGTGGATCTTTGTCTTTATTCTTGTGGTTTGTTCTCGGTCTTGCAGCTCTTCTGAGGGACCACCAAATGCAGCATTGCCCAAACCACTCTAATAATTACCATGTCAGGCTACACAGAGAAGCCATTGAAATCCACAATAAGCATGTGGACAATTTCAACAGAAAGGAAGAAAAAATGAAAATGAACAAAATCTGGCTACCAGTATTAAAAAAAAACTCTAATATTATAACAGTAAATAAAAAACAAAACTCAAACACAGGGGAACTCCAGACAAGAAACAATCAGAAACAGCTAATCACCTCTCAACAAAGGATTCCCCCAGGCAGTAACAAGGCACACCTAAAAACTGTCAGGCCATCAAATGCTAATCAAGGTGGCCTATTGAAACATTCATACCAACCTCCAACAGACAAGAGTTCTTCCTCCCACCCTAGACTTTCCACAGATATATAAACCCAATTTCCCTAGTTTCCAACAGACCTAACAATCTCTGAGAATGCCTGGCTATAGATGCAGGTGAAATGTCAGGAGGGAGTGCTTCTAGAACATGGCCATACAGCCCAAAAAACCTACAACAACCCAGTGATTCCAGCCATGAAAGCCTTTGACAATACATAAGAAAAGTAGATTTTCCCCAAGAACTTGTAAATAGTGTTTTGACCACAGCTCCCAGAATCCTCGAACTGTGCCATGGCTGCATCCTAATAATGACTTTTGAGATTTACAGTTTGATGAGATCCTTCAACTGCTTCACTACAGAGTTCCCATCCATTTGTTTCAACTGCAGTGCCCAAAAAGCATCTGTTGGTGTCTTTTCTCCAAAGAATGATTCCCAGTCCCTTTCTTTCTTCTTAGGGTCCCTGGTTGCTTTCCATAGGCCGCACAAAAGCATTCCTCCAATCATGCCTCAACATTGGGCTGATGGAGATGGAGGTTCAACAAGATCTGGAGAGCTGCAGGTTGTGGCGGCTGGGCTGTATCATGTCTTGCTTTGTGGGATTTCTATGCTGGCTTTGTGGGAATGACATTGTCCCCCAAACTGTGCCATGCATGCTCTCTTGCTAATATTTCCCCCAGGGAAGCAACTGAAGGTGCTGTCCGGACACGTCCAGTGGGTCTACTGTTGCCGCATCTCTCCTGATGGCCAGATGCTGTGCTCTACTGCTGGAGAGAAGTCGGTGAGTCTGTCTTCTAGAGGGAAGGGAGAAAAGGGAATGTCGCAGGGCTGGCCATTGGATCCCAGAGTAACAGTCACCACTGAGCTTCAGGAACCTGCATTGGAACCAGCCCATAGGCAGGGGAGAACTTTGCATGGTTTTAATGCCTGTTTTAATGCCATGTAACCTAATTTTGCATGTTTACACGCTTTTACATTCTTCTGTTATCCCTCTCTGCTATCTTAGTCCCAGATAAATTCTGGAGCAGAATGATTCTGTGCTGCTTTTCTTTATTGCTGCCAGTATGAATGAGAGGTCCAGGTTTTTCTATGATGCAAATTCAAATGAGGAGTAGCCTCTTCTCCCTTGTCCTTCTCAAGCTCATCAGTTGTGATTCTTCTCCTCCTACTTTGCCCTTCCTCTTCTTGGTAGGCTCTCCTCTGGAGCATGCGCTCGTACAGCCTCCTCCGAAGACTAGAAGGCCACCAGGGCTGCGTTGTGTCCTGTGACTTCTCCCCAGACTCCGCACTTCTTGCAACGGCCTCCTATGACACATTTGTGATACTCTGGGACCCCTGTACGGGGGAGCAGCTGAGATCCCTCTGGTAAGAGAGGCCATGGGCTACAATTGGCCCTGTTTGTATTTGGACTGAATTGCCTCTTCCTGTTCTGTTCATGCATCTTGTGAAATATCAGCTGACTCCCCGCCTTGCTTTCCTGTTGAGAAGACTGAATATGTCTCAGATGTACAAGCAGTTTTACCAACTGCTCGAAATGGAAAGGAGAGGTGTTCACCTTCCTGCAGTTAGGAAACGGGGGAGGAATGGGAAGAGAAGGCAGATCTCATGGGTCTGTGCACCTTCCCCTCAAGAAAAGACTAAAGCCGTGGTGGGAATCACAGTGTCCTTCGGGTGTTTTTGGACTAATCATTCCTAGCAGTCCTAGTCATCATAGCCAATAGTGATTCTCAGCCAAACACTGTCTGGAATGCTTTATGATCCCATTCCTTAAAGTGTTTGGGAGCTTTTGGGTTAAGGCAGAGTTTCTCAGCGTGGGGGGTCAGGACCCCCGAGGGGTTCGTGAGGGGAGTGTCAGATGGGTCACCAAAGGCCATCAGAAAAAAAAGTATTTTCTGTTGGTCATGAGGGCTGTGTGTGGGAAGTTTGATTCAATTCTACCATTGGTGGGGTACAGAATGCTATTTGATTGTAGGTGAATTATAAATCCCAGCAACTACAACTCCCTAATATCAAGGTCTATTTCCCCCAAACTCCACCAATGTTCACATTTGGGCATAATGAGTATTTGTGCTAAGTTTGGTCCAGATCCATTACTGTTTGAGTCCACAGTGCTCTCTGGATGTAGTTGAACTACAACTCCCAAACTCAAGGTCAGTGCCCACCACACCATTCCTGTATTTTCTATTAGTCATGAGAATTCTGTGTGCCAAGTTTGGTTCAATTCCATTGCTGGTGGGGTTCGGAATGCTCTTTGATGGTAGGTGAACTATAAATCCCAGCAACTACAACTCCCAAATGACGAAATCAATCCAACCCCACCAGTATTCAAATCTGGGCGTATTGGGTATTTGTGCCAAATTTGGTCCAGTGAATGAAAATACAACCTGCATATCAGATATTTACATGATGCTTCATAAGAGTAGCAAAATTACAGTTATGAAGTAGCAATGAAAATAATGTTATGGTTGGGGGTCACCACAACATGAGGAACTGTATTAAGGGGTCATGGCATTGGAAAAGTTGAGAACCACTGGGTTAAGGGAAGGCGGGGCATGAGGAAAGATAAGCATTCTACTGCTTTGTCTCAATTAGAACAAACCCATTGACTCATGTGTCCTCTGATTAATCAGCAAGTTGTTAAATCTCATTAGGTGAGTGAAATGATGACAAGATTTATGCTAAAATGATTACATTTATACACATTTGGGAGGAAGTGGGTCAAAAGCCAAGTTTTGCTGCCCCTTTCATTAACAGTGATAGTCAATGGCCAGTTTCTGGAAGTACTGGGGACACATGCAAAGAAAGGGGCAGAGGAGCAGTGTTATTTCCTGATTGACAGACTAGGTGAGACATTTTGCCCAGTGTTTTGTGATCTGGGGATTTTGCTCACTGCCATGAGAGGTATGGCTAGCTACTGGCATAAGGCTTGGATTGGACTGGATATATTAGCTGAAGTGGCTTCTTAAAGGCCAGGACACCTAATAGAATGGCCCAATCTCACTGTTGGTTCTTTTTCCCTCCCCAGCCACTTTCCTTTACAGCCCATTCACGACCACAACAGTGACTTCCATTCCAACTCCCTGCGATCTGTGTGTTTCTCCCCCGAAGGCCTCTATCTTGCAACTGTGGCAGATGACAGGTAATTCATGCTGGCTGGGGGATCCCTAAACATGAGGTTTTTGTTTTTTTTAAAGCCACTTCTCCAAATGCTGTAACTCACATTCCAAAGAAGAATGCCTTCTTTATCTTTTTTTTAGGCTCCTGAGGATTTGGGCTTTAGAGCTTGGGAGCCCAGTTGCCTTTGCCTTGGTGAAGAATGGCCTGTGTTGCACCTATTATCCACATGGAGGGATTATTGCCACTGGGTATGTTCTGGGCATGTCGTTGCGGTGCTGCAGGTGGTTCTCTTTTTGTCCCTCCCTTCATGGAATCAGTCCTTCACTCCCCCACCCACCCAAATAGGCAGGCCCTATTTGAGCAATGATCAATCTATTTGCCCCAAGGAACTGGGAAATTGTTGCTTCTCTTCGATGTTTCTGTTTTGTCATATGTCTGTTAAAACAGGCTGCGTTTTTAATTTAATTTTAGTTGTTAAGTCATATTTCGTGTTTATAGGTTGAGTTGTTCAATTTTGTTAGCATGGATGTATTGTTGTTGTATTCAGGCATTGAATGTTTGCCTTTTATTTTTGGAATCCGCCCTGAGTCCCTCCGAGGAGATAGGGCGGAATATAAATATTTATTATTTACTAGCTGTACCTGCCACGCGTTGCTGTGGCCACTTTCCCTCCCTCTTTTTTTCTCTCCATCCTTCCCTTCCTCCCTCCTTCCTTCCTTCCCTTTTTTTCTTTCCTTCTCTCCTTCCTTCCTTCTCTACCTCTTCCCTTTCTTCCCCTCCCTTTTTCTTTCTCTCCGTTCTTCCTTCTCTACCTGTTCTTGGACTGTAACTCCCAGCAGTCTTCCTGATTGACCTATCTACCTATGATCTATCTCCATCTAATCTATATATCTTATCTATCTGGAGGATTGCTGGGAGTTGCAGTTCAGGAATAGGAAATAGGAAATATGTACGGATTGGGATGTTCTCAAAGAAATCCAAGGAGAAGCACGCTTGCAGCTTGGAAACAGTGCATTTGGAGCATCCTCCTCTCCTAAAGGGGATGCTGGGAGCTGTCATTTTCACGCATGTGCTGTATCATCATTTGGCTTTTGGGGGGGGGGGGTTAAGTCCTTTCTGCTGTTTTTTGGGAGGGGTTTATGAGTGATGATCACTCATTGGTCTGTTAGGGGTGTAGTGTCCAAATTTGGTGTCAGTTCGTCCAGTGGTTTTTGAATTATGTTAATCCTACAAACGTGCATTACATTTTTATTTATATAGATTATTATTTCCCAGGACCTGATCCCAGGTTTTCTGCTTTAAACTGGATTATATGAGTCCGCACTGCCAGATAATCTGGAATAAACTGAAACCTGGGTTCAGATCCTTAGATATAGGGCCTGTCTGGAAGGGCTCACATATTCAAGAAACTGGCATGGGCTGGCTTGAGATGGCTGGATTTTCACTTGAAAAGATTTCCAGTGTCTAGTTCTTGTGTTTAGGAAGAGGGAGGCTATTAGCAGGGTTATTCATTAGCCAAAGGGAAGAGATTTTCTTAATCCGTCTCCATAGTTCAGTTATTGTTACCTTAGGGATACAGATCTGTTGCAAATCTTCAAGACATGAAAGTCGAGTAACTTTACAGAACACAGGATCAGAATCCAAAAATGACCTTAACAGAGGAGAGAGCTGATTGGCCCAAACTAACAATGAATTTCATCAGGGGGAAATGTAGGGTAGTACACTTAGGCAATAACAATGAAAGTCTAGTGCCTAGATTGAGGGAAGTCATGGTGCCCCTGTACTCTGCTTTGGTCGGACCTCATCAGGAATAATAACCCTGTGTTCTGGGCAAAACAATTCAAGAGGGACATTGACAAGCTGGAAAGTGTCCAGAGGAGGATGACTAAAAGGTCTGGAAACCAGGAATCCCTCTGCGGAGTGACTTAAAGAGCTGCATCTGCTTAGTTGCAGGAGAGAAGTTTGAGAGGAGACATGATTGCCATGTTTAAATATGTGAAAAGATGTCCTAAGGAAGAGGGAGCAGGTTTCCTTTCTGCTGCCCTGGAGACTAGGACTCAATGGAGTTGTGGGTTCAAATGGCAGGAAAGGAGATCCCATCTGAACATTAGGAAGAATTATTTTAATGTTTATTATTAACTTTATTTATACCCCGCAAAATCTCCCAAAGGACTCGATGCGGCTTACAAAGGCCAAGGCCGCCAACAAACAACGACATACAAATATAACAGTAAAACTCATAAGCAAATAATAAAACATCAAGCAAAGACAATAAAACACTAAAAACAATGACACATGATGCATTTAAAATCTAAAAGGGTGGGCCAAATGTAATGGACAAAATTTAAAAGTGCTGAACTTGACAGGAGGTATGTAGAGGTTTTTTGGAGGTAGGTGCAATGTGCAGACAATCCTAGTCTCTAACATAGTGCATTTGGGACATGATGCCAGGAGTTTCCTAATCTGGAAAGGCACACTGGAACAGCCAGGTCTTCAGGCTCTTCCTAAAGATTGCCAACGTTGGGGCTTGTCTGATGTCCTTGGGGAGAGAGTTCCAGAGTCGAGGGGCCACCACAGAGAAGGCCCTGTCCCTCGTCCCCATCCCACCTTTAGGGCTTTGTAGGTGAGCACCTGCACCTTGAATTGGGACCGGAAGATGAATGGCAGCCAATGGAACTCCTTAAACAGGAAGGTTGACCTCTCTCTGTAAGGAGCGCCAGTTAACAGCCTGGCCGACCATTGGACCAGTTGGAATTTCCGAGCTGTTTTCAAGGGCAGCCCCATGTAGAGCGCATTACAGTAGTCCAATCTAGAGGTGACCAAGGCATGGACTTCCTGACTGTAAGGAATGCTGTTCAGCAGTGGAACTCTCTACCGCAGAGTGTGGCAGAAGCTCCTTCTCTGGAGCTTTGAAACAGAGGCTGATGCTTGGATTGTGCTTTTCCTGCATGGCAAAATGAGGTTGGACTGGATGACCCCATGGGGTCTCTTCCAAATCTATGATTCTATATACCATCTTTCTAATTTTATAGAGTCCAAGGTGGTACTTTTAAGTGTTCCCAATTAGCTTCCCAGGCCCCTTCCACACAGCTGTATAAAATCCCACATTATCTGCTTTGAACTGGGTTATATGGCAGTGTGGACCCAGATAACCCAGTTCAGAGCAGATACTGTGGATTATCTGCTTTGATATTCCTGGTTATATGGCTGTGGGGAAGGGCCCCCGGCTTGTGTTGCTCACTTTAAGGATGGCGGCCACATCACATGTCCTCAGACCATATCCTCGTCATATGTGACTTTTTGTTAAACACTACATTAGTCATGCCATCAGCATCAGTTAACATCCATCATCTAAAAGATTTGCCTCTTAACTACTTGAAAGCCCTGTAGTATAGGACTGAGGAGGTCTAAAGCTCTGGATTTAAAGGGTAAGGGTACTTAAAGAGTAGGACACATGGAGTTTTGAATGCCTTTAAAATGTTCTACAGCCCAGTGACTAATTCAAGGTAAAAGCGTTTTAGCCCTGTGCTTAGCCCTGAAGGCATCTGCTGCCTCCCTGCCTGCCTCCCTCCCTGAGAGCCCTTCTGAATCACTGTCCCAGTGCTGCTGGTAGCAATAGGCTTTTCCCTACAACCCAGATATTGGGTGGAAGAGGAAGGGGAACCTGGCTGTGTCCCTCTAGTTCAGGTATGGGCAAACCCAGGCCTGGGGGCCGAATGCAGCCCCTTGGGCTGTTTTCTCCTCTTCTTCACCATCTCTTCCTTCCTTCCTTCCTTCCTTCCTTCCTTCCTTCCTTRCRTCCTTCCTTTCCTTTCCTTTCCTTTCCTTTCCTTTCCTTTCCTTTCCTTTCTTACCTCCCTCTTCCCTTCCACCCTTTTGTCCTCCCTCCCTCCCTCCCTCCCTTCCCCCCTTCCTTTCCTTCCTCCTTCCCTCACCTCCCTTCCCTTCCCTTCCACCCTTTCGTCCGTCCTTCCTTCCTTCCTTTTCTTTCCTTTCTCCTCCCCCCCACCTCCCTTCCCCCTTCCTTCTTTTTTCTTTCCTTCCTCCTTCCCTCCCTCGCCTTCCTCTTTCTACCTCCCTCTTCCCTTCCCTTCCACCCTTTCTTCCTTTTCTTTCCTCCTTAGCTCCCTCCCTCCCTTACCTCCCTCTTTCCTTCCCCTCCACCCTTTTGTCCTTCCTTCCTTCCCTCTCTCCCTTTCTCCTTCCTTCCCTTTTGTCTTTCCTTCCTTCTCTTTTTCCTTCCTCCTTCCTTCCATCACCGGGCAGCCACTCCTCCGAGCAGGGAGTCCTAGCATGCGGCCCCCAAGTTGGAAAGTTTGCCCATGCCTGCACTAGTTGTACTTCCCATGCTTTAATGCCATTTCAGGGATTCCAAGCACCCCAACCTTAGGCAGCCAAATGGCTGTGGCTAGTTCTGCTCTAAGCCCTTCTGCTTCTTTCTCTCCCTTTCCCTCCTTCTCATTATAGGACACGAGATGGCCATACCCAGTTTTGGACAGCCCCCCAGGTCCTGTCCTCCCTTAAGCACCTGTGCCGCAAAGTGCTCCGGGGATGCTACACAACTCACCAAGTCACGGCACTGCCCATTCCAACGAAAATGAAGGAGTTTCTCACCTACCGGACTTTGTGAGACTAACTGGGTTGATGGAGACATCCTGTTGGTGACTGGCTGATTTGAGCAGGATGGCAACTTGCCTTTTTGAGACTGGTGCAATGACGTTGTGCTCTGCAGCACAGTAAGGGCCAAAGTCTCATTTTCTTTTGTGGGAGAGTTGTGTGTAAGGAAACATTAATTTGCCCAGGGATGTAGCTATGCTTGTTGGGCACAGGAAACCTCAAATCTCATTTTCACCAGCCCTAAGCGGATTGGTCTTCAGCATATTTCACTTGGAATTGCCATAGTTGTAAATTTCTCCAGAACCTTTCTGCATTTAACACACTCTTGTACATGAGTGTGGAGGGAAGAAGCGGCTTCTGGTTTGAGCAAACTTTCAACGAAACTTTGTCCTTTCTAGCTGAACATTATGCACGTAGTTTTCACAGAAGATGAAGGCCTCCCTTTGCTAGTGGACAAAGCTATCCACTCTGAGCTTTTCATTCCCCAATCTTCCAGAAAAGTTGATCTTATCAGTGTCAACTTATCAGATTTCGACACGCTTGGAGGGCATTGTGCCATTTTGTGTGGCATAGGATCTTTGAGTTGGCTCTCAGGTTAGTCACAGCGTCACTTGCAGATGCTCTGGTTGGCCAGCTAACCCTGCAGCACTTCTCTCATTTGCTTTGAGGGTGATGTATTGCAGGAAGGAAAGGCAGACAATGAAGATCCCAAACAAAATGCCCTTCTAGTAAGGATTGGCCCATGTAGAGGGCTATACCCCATTTTGAGCACCCTTCCCATTACAAAATTTGAGGGGATCTTTTATTTTTTTTTGCCCTCTAGTCTGCCAATAGTCCCCTTCTCAAATTCTTGTGGTCTCTGCTAGATGAATTTCAATGTTGTCAGTGATCGCCACTTTTCACTGGGACAGTGTCTCTGTCTTACTGAAAGTCTTGTGTCACATCTTCTAGAATGTAAGCCCTCTTTCTGCCCACTTATCCCTGCCTTTGTTATTTTACCCACTATTTTACTTCACTAGCTTGCAAGGTCTTGCTATCTTGGCAAAAGGGATGAAAATGTAGATTACTTTGCATTGTGCCCTGGCTCTAAGAGCAGCGGCTGAGCAAAATGGCCACCCCTAGAGCATCAGTCAGCTTTAAGGCACAGGGCTTTCCTGCTCGTCTCAGGAAGGTGTGAAGTGTTACTATTTTGTGTGCGTTATGCCTCCCAACAACCCAGGAAAGTCAACACTGAAAGCCTATCCTACTTGAATATGCCTCATACATCAGGACCCCTAAACGGAAAGTAATTCCCTGTTGAGGTTCCAAGATAAACATGTTTGTGGTACCACATTGATGTTGGGCCTCCATTCCCGACTTTTATGGACATTGATATGGTGTAGATCAGGCATCCTCAAACTGTGCAGTCCCAGCTGTTTTGGTCTTCAACTCCCAGAATTCCTGACAATTGAACAAGCTTGTTAGAGCTTCTGGGAGTTGGGGGCCCAAACAGCTGGAGGGTTGCAGTGTGAGGATGCCCTCAAGCTGTTCCCAATTTATGCCAATCCTATCATCAGATGCTCTTGGAAGGGGTTTTTGTTCTTGCCTTCCTCTGAGGCTGAGACAGTGTGAGCTTACCAAGGGCACTCAAAGGGTTTCTGTGGCCAAGTTCGGATTCAATGCCAAGTCTCCTGCACATTTAGTCCAACACCACTCTGGCTGTCCATGGGATTGGGTGGAAATGATTGATTACTATTTTATAATACAGGCATAAAACCACTGTGACCCAGTGCAGACCTCTTCACTTTGTACCATGTCCTTGCTTTCAATGAGCTGTGCAACTAGTCTTGATGCTCTTGTGCCACTTTTGAAATGACACTGCTGAAGATGGATCAGAAAGTGCTGGTTGATTATGTTGAAAACAAATGATTCACTGTTGATTTTTTTTTTCAGGTTATAGTAGCTAGAGGTGACAGCCCTGCTTTTTTGTTTGTTTTGTTTTAATATACGTCAATAGTCTCTCTCTGTAATAAAGAAGTACTTAGACTGGACTTCCGCTGTTCTTTCTCTTCTCTCACTCTGGACTGGTAGAGTTCAATAAAAGTGGCCTTTGAGGAAACACAAATTTCACATTTTCAAATGAAATATCAAGTTAAAAAAAAGAACACTTGGTGAACAATACAAGTCTGTAGTCAAGTAAAACCAATATTGGAATAGATTGCAAAGCCTCTGTCCTACAGCTCTTTATTGTCACATTGTTTTGAGCCCTCCCAACCAGATCTTGAAAATTAAGATGTTTTTGAAAGGGACAGTACAGTACTGGAAAGACTCCAATGGCTGACAATCAGCCTCCAAGACATGACAAATACTCCAAACTTTCCAACAAAAGAACCAACTTTTGTTTCTTACTGCTTTGAACCCAGTTAGGTCATGGACTCTGGGGGTAGGGCCTACTTTTACTTACACTGCCCCTCCATATCAAAGCCCTATGCAGACCATGACTGTTTTCTTCATGCTTCCGTTAAAAAGCCATATATACCCAATGAAGCTTGTGAAATGCCAAAGCTAGCACAATTCATGTGCTTTTTTTGGTTTGAGTGGATAAAAAAAACACCTCACTTTGTATATGCTCACAAATGGCATCTGGCTTTGTGTTCTACTCCCAACTTAATGGCTTGGAGGACAATATTGAGAGACTTGTAGTTCTCCTTTCTAATGACCAATGAGGTAATAGGAGGGATTCTGCCTGAGCAAAGACGACAGGCCTTTGGAGAATGGATCTCATGGCCTCCTGCATCTTAGGTTATCACAGGGGAAGATACTTCCCTCTGGGTAAGGTCTCCAAACCACCACTTTTAAGTACTAGCAGAATTTGGTGGGGACTGACCCAGTGTAATGGGAGCTGTAGTTCACACAAATCCATAGAGCACTGTGAACCCCACCAGCGATGGATCTCGACAAGCTTGGCAGACATACCCACCATGGCCAACTTTGAAATACTGGTGCAGTTTGGGGGCAATGACTGGTGATGATGGGAGTTATAGTTCACTCACATCCTTATGCATTTTACATTCATAACATTCAAAACCAAACAAAGACAATATTTTTCTTTATATAATCCCTAATCTGGGCATTCCTAGCTACCAAAACTAGTCTAATCTAAAAAGACAGTCCTGAGTAGCTCTCTTTCCCCAGGGTAGGAGCCCATTTTAGTTTTGTTCACACTATCAAGAGACTTCTACTAACTAAATACTAACAGCAGAGGTTGAAAATGTTACGCTGACAGCGTAGGAGCTATAGCTCTAAAAAAGAAACTTATCCAAGTCTTAATTGAGACGAAGGAAGTAGGAGAGTGGCCATATATAAAGAAGCAAGAGTTTTTAATTTTGCATTCTGACAAACAGAGCTGAAACATTCAAATCACTGCTGGAAGACTGGGGAAAGCAATGTTAACACAGGCCTGCCATTCGGTTCAGTCCACTAGTTGCACCGAAAGGGAAGTTGCCGATCACCACAGACCACAGGCACTTGCATTCCAGCCCTCTAGATGCCGTCGGGCCACAGCCCTCACCAGCAATGCCCGTGGAGGAGAGTACTGAGAGTTGCAGTCCGCCAGTTGCTACGGCAAGTGCAAAGCACTGAAAAGAGCTTGATTACGCTTCTGCTGCAATGAGATCTCTGGTGACCTGGAAAGCACCCACAAGAGCCCCCAGCTGGATCTTCTCACTTGTCCCCGCAGCTAGACGATGCCTTAAAGAGAAGAGAGGAGGAAGAGTCTCACAGCTGAGATATTTGCATTGAAAAAACCCTTCCTGATACCCAGAATACCCCACTAAGGTGATAAATCAGTTCTGGGATGGAGGAAGGGGTGTGATGGACAAGCCTGCTAAAAGTATCTCTGCGACATATTTTTGTCAAGCCACCTCACTATGTAGACCAGGCATGGGTAAACTCCAGCCCTCCAAGTGTTTTGGACTCCAACTCCCACAATTCTAACAGCCTCAGGCCCTTTCCTTTTTAGCGGCTGAGGGGGAAAAGGAAGGGGCCTGAGGCTGTTAGGAATTGTGGGAGTTGAAGTCCAAAACACCCGGAGGGCCAGAGTTTGCCCATGCCTAATGTAGACCCTACTTGCAGAGCCAGGCCAATCTTGCTTTTTATTTCAGGCAGTTTAGCAGCCTTCGTGGCACAGAAAAACATCTTGAAGTTCAACCTCATTCTCTGCACATCCCTTCCCTGATTGCTTGACTCATCCCTGCCTCGACTTATTTCCAGATAATGCAATACTCTCTACAGCAAAAATACGTTTTTCCTTTTTCCAACTTTAGTTGACAGTTCTTAAATAATATACCAACGGAAGTAGGTGCAAACCATGTCTGCATTACCCTAAATACTCCATTTTAAAAGAAGATGAAAAATCAGGTATTCCAGATCTAAGAAAAATGCATACAAAGTCCCACAGCTCTGAAGCAGCTACATTCAGTCTGGGAAAAGAGCTCTGTGGTGGAAGATAAAGCTGTGCCTCCAAATAGAAGCCTTATCTCCCAAGACACTTACTCAATATCTGCCATCTTGATCAGCAACTGGATTCGAACAGATGGTGGAAAGTCAACTGCAGGGTAGAAAAGGCAACACCAACAATGCTTGACAAAGGACTGTAACAACTTCATAAATATAGTAATTTTACAAATTAGCCCTCGCCTATTGATTTTTAACTGGAGAGGCGTGCCTGCCCTGATTTTTTTTCATTCCACAAATCCTAGCTGTGCCTTAGTCCTGTTCTCCTACCTGTTATTCCCTGTAGCAGTGATACCTCAAGAAAGCTTTCTCCTGGTTACTAGACTTTCCTAAAAGTTATCTGACAAATCAGAGCTGTCCCCCTTTATTTGCTCCTACGAAGCCCTCCATTTGGAATTTTGTGACTTGAAAATCAACACTGCACACAGAGGGAAGGAATTAAACAGTATAGAACAAGACTACTTCTTGTTTCTCCTCTCTACCCACAAAATTCAAGACATGGGTTTCTCTCCATGTCTGGAATACAACGAGTATTTTTGCAGTAGATTTCGGCAGTACCACCAAAACTTTGGGTCCTATTCCAGCCACGCACCCTCCTCATACACTTAAAAGCCAAAACACGTGGCATGATCTACAACAGAACACAGCAAATGGTGTACTTCAAACCCAAAAGCACGTTTACCTCTGTGGACAAACAGGTGGATTTCTGTCAGAATATCATGCAGTGCCAAGCCCTTCAATGTCTTCAGCTCCATAATATCTGAGCAGAGCATCAAGGTGATATCTACGCCAACAGGATGCTTGCTAATGCAGACAGCGACTAATTGAATGCCTTTCCCAGCTTATGGAAGGGGGTGCCCATGGTAACCCGTACTGCCTTCAAGGAAAAGGCATGTTCTGAAAGCAAAGGCCACCATCACCACATCTGCAGGAGAAAAGAACTGCAGAGGCAGAGATGGAAAGAGAGAACAGTTGCTCTGAAGCCCCCCCAAAGAATGTACTTTCTTCCGACACTTATAGACCACCTTTCTGCCAAAACACAAGGTAATCTGCAGTCTAAAATAGATTTCAAAAAGAAATGATCCAAACAGAATCTGAGAGATATAAAAAATAGAAGGGAGGACAAAGCAAAGATAAAAATATAAGCAAGTTCAAGGTACCATATATTTCAAGCTCTTACATCAGTGATGGTGAAACTCTTAGAAATAGAGTGCCCAAACTAGGGAGGGAGGGGGTACTCCGGGGGGGGGTGGCAAGCGGGAGGTGGGGGAAGCAAATGAGCAGGCAGGTGAGCAGACAAATGGTGAGCAAGGGGTGGGCAAACGTGACTAAGCCGGTAAGCAAATGGGCAAGTAAGGGGGTGGGTAAACAGGTGAGCAAGTGAGTGGGATGGTGAGCGATGGTGTTAGGGACACCACCACTGTCCTACATAATGCCATTATATAATAGGACTGCAAGAGGTAGTTCTGGGAGAGAAAGAGCCAAGTATTAGTGAGTCCCAGCTGGGCTGCTGGAGCAGACCTCCCCGCCACACCTCTCCCTGTCATGGAGACCAGGAGGAACAACTGCCATCAGAAGCGGCTGTCGACAGCTTACATATTCATACTGCTGGCAGGAGGGGCAAAGAGGAATGCAAACGTTCTGGTGGCAATTACCACACAAGTTACAGAAGACAAAGGAGGTGTTCACTGTTTCAAAAGTACAGCTACAGAAGACGGCAATATGCCAGCACATTTGAGAGTGGTTGCACCAGGACTTACTTTTAAGCAGAAATGCACAGAATTGAGCTATGGTTTATTATTTATTATTATTATTAACTTTATTTGTACCCCGCTAGCATCTCCCGAAGGACTCGGTGCGGCTTACAAAGGCCAAGGCCTCAACAAAACAATAGCATAACAATACAATTCAAAGCAAATCAAAAACATTAAAGCAATACCAGTAAAAACAACAAAACATTACACCATAACACAATAAAAACACTTTGGTAAAAGTGTTATACACTTTGGTAAAAAGGAGTCTAAACTAGTAAGAATTATATCAGATCATCCTCACTCTATTCCATTCCCCTTTACCTCGGCCACTGCTGAACAAAGCTTGGGATCCTTTCCCAAGTCAGAATTCAGCCTCCATACCACATTAAAAATATGACCTCACAACCTCTGAGGATGCCTGCCACAGATGCAGGCGAAATGTCAGGCGAGAATGCTTCTAGAACATGGCTACACAGCCTGAAAAACCTACAAAAACCCATAAAAAATATGTTCCCTGCCCCTTGCTATAGCAACTTGGAAATAACAGGTGACCTCTGTATTGTTTCTAATGGTCTGTACCTTTCTACCCATTCCAAGAAACCACAGGTCATGCTTCTAAACCAGTGCTACTTATCACTATTACTGTCTGAGGACGCAAACTCAGACTTCCTCTGCAAAATGGCCTCAGGCAATGGGCATAAAGGAGAGCCATCAAGGGCAGCAGAGAAGGAGAAAGACAATTCTGATGCTAGAGCATAATCCAAAATGATTTTAACAGATTAGAGAGCTGGGCCCAAAGCAAATGAATTCCAATAGGAATAAATACACAGTACTACACTTAGGTAGGAAAAAAGAAATGCACAGAGATAGGATGGGTGACACCTGACTTGAAAGGAAAACTGATCAATTAAAGCTGCGTTTTGAAGCCTACTGGTCCATCCTAGAGCACACCCATTAAATTAATTGTTGAGTGATGACTCAATTAGCTAAGTAAACCCTACTGAATGAATGTATTTACAGTATATTCTGGCGTATAAGACTACTTTTTAACCCAAGAAAATCTTCTCAAAAGTCAGGGGTCGTCTTATATGCGGGTGTAGTCTTATGCATGGGAGTTGTCTTAACTCTATATTTTAACTGGAAAAGTTGGGGGTCGTCTTATACGCCCAGTCGTCTTATATGCCGGAATATACGGTACTCTAGCTGTGACTAAATGGGATTCAAGCCTTAATACCATTAATGGCCACAGGACTATGACAGTGGGTGACTGGCAGAGCTGGAGCAATTTAACTGCAACACGAAGTTGCTGGATGCACTTGTTTCTCCAGTAACCAAGTGCTAACTAGGATATCCAAACAGTGCCAGTGACAGGGAACGCCTAACAGACACGTAGAAGCGAAACCTGCAACAAGTCCAACTCATCCACATTCTTTGCTGACATTGTGAACCAATGCTGCTCATGAATCTCAAGAAGCTGCTTCCTTTAGTTTAGATGCACCTATGAACAATCTAAAAGCTGTGCTGCCACAAGGTAGCCACAGGACAGATTCTTAGGAACACGTGCCAACTACTTGGAGCCAATGCTGGCAGTTTCCTGGGCTAATTCCAAAACAGGGCTCCAAAGGATACTGTGATAAGCAGCAGTGAAATCTTGGTTCAGCATCCAGTCAAGGATGTTAGCAATGTCCGACTTGAGTGGCTGCCCGGTACAGGTGTAAACTGTCTCCTCGGTCACCTTTCCAAATGCCATGTTTGTACTCTGCCAAGGGAACAGAAGAACAGTCCTTGGGTCAATTGTTTGCCCACTTAGAATCAGTTGCCAGTATAGGGAGGAAGACTATATAGATGGCTTGCAACTGCTTAGACTGCGACTCCCCTTCAGCCCTAACAAGCATAGATCACTGTGAGGGATGATGGGTGATACAGTCCAACAACATTGAGCGAGCCATATGTTCCCTGTATTACAGAAAGGATTCCTGGTAGAAAAATAAAAATACACACACCTGTAAAATGTTCAGAGACCGGCGCATGTCACCGTTTGATAGTGTCACCAGTGCCTTCATTCCATCATCACTTACATCAACTCTGAAAGAGAAAAACACAGGCCTACATAGTCAACCAAGAACAATTATTTCATACAGCTATTCTACGCTGGGGGCTATGCTATCCCTCCCCTAGACCCAACACAAGCTATCTTCTCTTCCAGCTGCCAGAATATGGCATCAGATTTGTTTTTCAAGGCGTTCCACAAGTTTTCTACCAAATTTCAATTGAGAGATTTGCAGTGACATCCCAGTCATATGGTGGGAGAGGAGTCACATTGATACACTTTGATTATGAATATGAAAAAATAAGCCAGACCGGTTGGAACATCTTTTAGTTGGTTCATCTATAGCAGTGGTTCCCAACCTTTGGTCTTCCAAGTGTTTTGGACTTCTGTGCCCACAATTCCTAACAACTGGTAAGAGGGCTGTGATTTCTGGGAGTTGAAGTCCAAAACACCTCGAGGACCAAAGGTTGGGAACCACTGATCTACAAGTAATGTCTAGTTTCCTTAAAACTTAATGATTCCATAAAACTCAAAGCACCACCAACCATATGCTTATGGGGCTATAACTAAGCATAGCATGACTGAAATTCTCCAAACCAAGTGGATAGAGGGGGCAGGGCATTTGTACAGAGATGAGAAACAGGATCCAGACAGTTAAAATGTCTGACTTGAGTGGACAGCCCTGTTCCACATCTTTATTAATGACTTAATTTGGGGTCCTCAGGTGTTTTGGCCTTCAACTTCCAGAAATCCTAACAGCTGGTAAACTGGCTGGAATTTCTGGGAATGTAAGCCAAAACACCTGGGGACCCACAGGTTGAGAACCACTGACTTAGATGAAGGATTAGAAAGTATGATCATCAAGTTTGCAGATGATACCAAATTGGAAGGGAGAGCCAATACTACAGAAGACAGGAGCAGAATTCAAAACGATCTTAACAGATTATAGAGATGAATGGCCAAAACTAACAAAATGAAGTTCAACAAGGGACAAATGCAAGATATTCCACTTAGATGGAAAAAATGAAATGCAAAGATACTGAATGGGGGACAATGCCTGGCTCGACAGCAGTACCTGTGAAAAAGATCTTGGAGTCCTTGTGGACAGGAAGGTGAACATGAGCCAACAATATGATGCGGCAGATAAAAAAGCCAATAGGATTTTGGCCTGCATAAATAGGATTCTAGTGTCTAGATCCAGGGAAGTCATGCTATTCCTCTATTCTGCCTTGGTCAGACCACACCTGGAATCACACTGTGTCCAATTCTGGGCACCACAATTCAAGGAAGATGTTGACAAGCTGGAATGTGTAGAGGAGGGTGACTAAAATAATTAAAGGTTTGGAGACCATGAATCCCTATGAGGAGCAACATCTAGAGCTGGGCCTGTTTAGCCTGCAGAAGAGAAGGCTGAGAGGAGACATGATGAGAGCCATGGATGAGGAGAAGTCATATGGAGGAGGGAACAAGCCTGCTTTCTGCTGCCCTGGAGACTAGGACGTGGAAAAATGGCTTCAAACTACAGGCAAGGAGATTCCACCTGAACATGAGGAAGAACGTCCTCACGGTGAGAGAGAGCTGTCCAGCAGTGAATCTCTCTGCTACGGCGTGTGGTGGAGGCTCTTTCTTTGGAGGCTTTTAAACAGAGGCTTGATGGACATCTGTCAGGGGTGTTCTGAATGCGATTGTCCTGCTTCTTGGCAGAATAGGTTGGACTGGATGGCCCAAGAAGTCTCTTCCTACTCTATGATTCTATGAAAAGAGAAGATCAGTAATATCTTTCTTTTGTCTTTCTACTCACTTCTCACGCTCAATAACATGCTTCAATCGGGGAACCATAAGCTCTGGTGTCAGAGGACCGAAGCGGAATCTGGTGCACCTTGACTGTAAGGCCGGGATGATCTTGGAGAGATAGTTGCAGATCAGGCAAAAACGAGTATTTTCGGTGAATTTTTCTATTACTGGAAAGGCAACACAGAAGGCAGAATCAGCTTACTGAACACTCTCTGGTGATGATAAATACATTCATGATGTAGATAAAACCTTTAGCAGAGGTCTTTCTGTGGGCACACTGATACATCAGTGAGGTGGGCAGCTACGAAACTTCCTTGGTGGTGCATTTCCTAGTCTTGGGAAACTGTCTTTTCACAATGAGATAGACCTTCTCTCTTTCAAAGCATCCTTTTAGTCTTCCAAATGTTTCATGCATCTTGTATTATTCTGTGCATTTTAGCTTTCCTCCTTCCATTTCACATTTTAATTGCTTTATTCTTTTTGGAAATCATGAAATACAATCATGGAAATATGGTGAAGAGCATCACATAAATGTTCTGATTTGGTATTACTTAATACAGCAAAACATAACCCAAAGGGTTATGAAAAATTACCTCTCTCCAAAATTGCTCACACCTAGAATCCTAAAGTTGGAAGAGACCCCAAGGGCATCTAGTCCAACCCTATTCTGCCATGTAGGAAAAGCACAATCAAGCACCCCTTACAAATGGCTACGCAGTCCCTGCTTAAAAACCACCAGATGTGCTAAAGGAGTTGATAGACAGCCCTTGAATATAATCTGGAAGGCAGCAAACAACATAAAATGGGTCTTCTCAACTGGGGCACCCTAGTTCTAACATGCCCTCTTCTCAGAGGCCCCACCGATGCCAATATTGATGCAATTCTGCTACCAGGTCAATGTGGTTTTTAAATTAAATTTGGGGGCTAAATGATTTCATCCAGTTTGCTCATGTGTCCTGGTCAGTAATTTTTTTAATGGTTGTAATGATTCTGGTTTTAAGAGATGCATGATTAAATTTTCTTAAATGCTCCTGATTACCCGACATTCATTTGACTGCACACTGCCCTGAGATCCTTGGGTATAAGGTGAGATATCAAGATTTAAGAAACAATAATAAAACTATCTAGAAATAAACATAATTATGATTAGTGCATTGACCTAAAAACACATCATGACAAAGCAGATCCCATTACATGTAAATAAAAACCTTTAGAGTCTCATAACCTGCACTCTCCCTTCCTAAGATGGACTGAGGACTGATCCGTTCTATGGAAATAAGCTGTGGCCTCCTCACAAAGCAGGGGCTTGTTTATTCAACCCTAACAGTAGAAAGAACCACATTTCCAATCAAGGGATGAACACATATTTTATATCCCACCTTTCTCCCAGCACAGAACATGCAGTTTACAACTGTTTAAGACAAAGCACAACTAAAAAAATAATTGATATAAAAGTTAAAACAAACCACAATTTTGTTTAGAAAACACAAGTTAAAAACAGTTGAAAAAATAAATTTAAAGCACAATAAAAAAAAAAGCTTGCTGCTAAGTTGTGGGAGGTATAAAGCCGTGACACATAACAAGATGCCCAACACTCCGGGGACCACAAACCAACGCAGGTGAGCTGGGACACCAAACAGCCATATTATGTGGCAAAACAGGACTAACCCAGGAAAGTGCTGCCCACCAGAGCTATGGTGTGTCTGCACCATGGCTCTTGTGGCATGTGGCAAACTTACCCCGCCTGAGGGCATTCTGTGCTTCCTGTGTCATGGCATCTGCTTCATCCAGAATCACCAGTTTAAAGCCTTTCCTAGTAAGAACGAGAAACAGTCAAATGAGCTGAAGTCTTTGAAATGCACACAGAGCTTTAAAAACCCAACATTGTCAAAAACAATCTAGCAGCAAGAAAGAGAGGTACCAAGTCAGGAAAGAGATCACTGAATTCAAGGAAAGCTATCCTCTGACAAAGTCTATGCATTGAACCTGGGACCAGTCCTAATAAAACCAGCAACAGGCCCCTGAGGCACTTGAGTGACAATGGGGAAAATAATAGATCAACCTGGCTGCATCTTTCAGATAATTATTCTGCCTACAAGGTTAGTTTATTCCATTCATTGTTACCACTGAGACTTTTGGGAAGTGAAGTTCAACAGCACCTGGAGGGCTAAGGGGTGGAAGCTAGTGGGCAAGAGCATAGAAACATTTTATTGTTGAATTATTAGGAGTCCAAAGTTTTTACTGCTGACTTGAAAATCCAGGTATGATTTGCAGCTAGATTCCTACGTACCACTTGCTCTATATTCAATGAGGTGGGCGGGGAACAAACTCCAATGCCTAAAATACACTGGTACTTCCAAGGCAAGCTTTCCTTGAGAAAGGGTTGTTCCCTCTGCTCCACCACTTCATACTACGTAGATGCCTTAAAGGCATGAGATTAGTATCAGAAGCCAGGCAGTTGGGCATTTCACAGTTTAGAACAAATAAAAACAGAGACATTCTACCTGCACTATCTTCTGGAGGAAAGAGCCTGGAGGGCTCTTCAGGGCACTTACTTAAAAATGGTCCTTGTGCTGGCAAAGCTCAGGATAGGTCCTCTGACAATGCCGATACCTCGGTCATCTGAAGCATTCAGCTGAAGAGAGAAGCAGGTGGTATTAATATGTTCTGAACAGATATGAGAATAAACATAATAATGAGGGGAGCAGCTGCAGAAGCCGAAAGGCTATTGCATTCCTCTACCAAATATACAAGAAATATTTGCAGTTGAACAGGAATGAAATATTTAAAGATATCCCTAAATCACTCTTGTATTTAAGCATTAGCCTGGCAAGTAAGCATGCAACCCTCGGGTTTAGAAAGACTGCAGTTCGATATAGAGGTTATTAGGGTATGAGGAATAAAGGATAAGCTCAATAAAACGTTCCCTGTGTACAGAATAAGCAAGAGAGCAGAGCTCAGGTGGGGAACTTGCAGCCTTTTAGGAGAATTCCTACCACTCAAAGCCCTGACCTTACTAGCTGAGGTTGATGTCTACAGTCCAAGGCATACATTCAATAAAGCTAGTATAGAGAAGGCAAATAATGTTTTCATTTACCTCTAGAACCATGGAGTTGAATTCCTTGTCTTTGTAAAGTTGTTTAGCACAAGCCAAAATGGTGGAAGTCTTGCCAGTCCCTGGAGGCCCATAGAAGAGAAGATGAGGCAACCGATCTTCGCTGATGAACTTCTGAACTGAAAAGGTCGGAAAATTGAAATTGCACTTCTGCACAATTTGCAAATACTGTATATTTATATGCAAAATTTTAGCCAGAAAACACAAGCAGAGCTTGGAAGTAACAAATCAGAAGCAACTTGTTGATTGGCAAGTTTTGATTTTTTTTCTAGCAACAACACAAAATGCCACTGTTTTGTCTCTCAAAACAGTGGCGGATTCTGAGGTTGTGTGCCTTAAAAGGAACCCATCATGTGTTTTTCTGTGCAAGACTAGTTCAGGAGCAGGGGTTGCCATTGCCTTCCTCTGAGGTTGAGAGAGAGTGACTTGCCGAAGGCCACCTCATTGCTGAATAGGGATTCAAACCCAGGTCTTGAGAGTCATAGTCCAACAGTCAAACCACTACATCACACTGGTTCTCAGTGGAGGATTTCCTGATTATTCACTAAGGGGAGATGGCTTGGGGGAGAAATGTCACATGGTTCAGTGTAGCTTCCACACTATACCACCCTACCTAGTACAGCCTCTGAGTCATGACCACTACTAAGGACCTCATCAGATGGGTGTAGAGCTCCATTTCCATGTGCTGTGGAAATGGAACCTCACAGGAACCCCATAGAAGCTATCACATGACGTAAGGGAACTTCCCGTGGAACTCCATGGGGTTCTGTTTCTCCAGCGAATGGAAACTGATCCCTACACCCATCTTAAGGGGTTGAGTGTTGCCTGCTTTAAGATGGGTAACAGCTTTAAGATGGGTAACAGTTCTAAGCTGGGAGAAAGCGAGGGAAAGACTGGCATCGATGCCATGAGATGGCTTGCCATCCTACAAGATAGGGAAAGAAGGGAGCGTGGTAAGATGGTTCCTTCACTTTCCCCCATTCCCCCCCCCCCACTCCATCTGATGAAGTCCTTAATGTTACTAAAGAGTTGAAGCCCGAGAACTCATCAAAGTGTCTGCTTAAGGGACACCAAAAGCCAAGCACATGAGCCTTCTTCCTCCACCCCATGCAGGTGCTGAGCTCCAGGATTAAGGCAACAGATAACAACAGAGATGCCAGGTGCTGGCAGATCAGTGGAGCCAAGGTACAGGAGGGTGACTGCTGTAAGTAATATAGGGAAAAGAACGGCTTTTATAATGGCAAAGAGCTAGCTGGGTTAATTACCCCACTCTGAGCCAGCATCATCTGCTGGTGGTGCCTGACACCACACTTTTCCTGCTCCCTTGTTTCCCCTCCTCCACCAGTCATAAGGGGGCGGGGGATCCTTGACTAAGAGACCACATAACATATTCCGCCTCTTCCCTTCCAAGCAGAAGCCCATTGTGGTGCTTGGGTGCGAGTTCATGCTGTTCCCACCCCCGCTGTTTGGAGCCTGGCAATCAAGGCTGGCCAACCCCTGCAGCGGGAGAAGCTCTTGTTCCCTGAGCACTCAAAGTGGCCTGGCCGGAGCCATTCCCCTATAATTGCGTGTCTGTATGTGTGCCCATGCACACATGTGTGTGAGAGAGCGGGAGGAAGGATTCAGAGGCACGCAATTTAAAAGCAGCAAGTTGACTTTCCTCACCCTCTTTTTTTAAAGTAATGAGCAAAAATTTCCCAACAGTAACAACAGGTTACTTTCAATAGCGCTTATAATGAACAACAAAATGAGCTCCTTTTAGAAAATAATGTTCCAGGCTCTGCACTCAAGAGTGTTCACAATTGAAAATAATGGCTTACAATTCTGTAGGCATGATACAAAAGGTAAAATGAAGAAGGAAGGAAGAAGAGAACAAGTAGGTATCAACCCTTACATCGGATTTCAACAACCTCCAGATGTGCTCAAGGGGGTGCCAAGTGAGGGCAGGCAGCCTTATATCTTATGGCAGCTTCACAAATAAGTCCCGCAACAGTGTGTGCACACATACACACACAGCTCGATTAGCCTGTGGGAGCTAGCAAAGGAGGGATAAAGTAGCTGAATGTTTTTCTATGTTGGGTGGGAAAAGGACCCTCTATAGTTACTGGGGTTAGGGGCACAGGGCCCCTGCCAGACTGAAAAACCGCAAATAAAGAAATTGCTCTTTTCTTTATGATGTCTTCCAGCACAACATAATGGTCAACTTCTACTGGAAGGTGGCCACAGAATCGCACTGGAGTACATAGAGATTCCCAAAGACATGTTCTTTCTTGAAATCCCTAGGTGCTCCAGAAATACTAGAGGAACAGGTAACAAATGTGGAAGGATGACTGTAGGTTTATGTTGGCACAGAATCACTCCACCAGCTTGCCTAATTGCTTGGCATGGATTTCCAAGCTAAAGTTGCAAAGAAAAGATACTGAAGGATCAAGTGATGAGACTCCCAAGAGGTGATGAGTCAACATGAAATTGGTCAAAACCAACAGAAATAAAAATCTGCTTGATCATGAATGAGGCAGAGTGCTAGTATGTGCTAGCAAGCAGAGCTGCTCAATTAATTGCTTTTGTTTGTGACTTGCTTATTGGGACATACCTAGCAAGAAGGTCCCAGACTAGCCAGTTCTAAGCCAAAAACAAAGCAGGGCTTGTGGTTCTGCCTTGTTTTCCCCCACAGAAGCTTGAATTCAGACACGGCAAGAACCAAGAAAGGGACAGAAGGTCCGTGGTTTGTTTAGCTACTCTTGCTTACACAATCCAAATGGGAGCAATCAAGCAGCATATGTCAGCATGCCTAGCTGTTCACAATAAGCAAAAATTTGGATTTATTGTGTTTTGTGACCACAGCCAAAGGTTTATCACAACATCCAAGGTAATCACCCCCTTTGGGCACCTGTACTATAATGTACTGACAGATAACAGAGAGGAAATGGGATGCTTCCTGTGCCATGTCACTCTGACTTTGTATATAGCTCTTAGTCCTGTTCCCTCGCTTTGTTTGAAAACACATCTTATGATTACAACAGGTATTATAGGCTAAATAGCTCTTCGTGTCCTTTCTACTTTTAGAGAAGCTCAAACAGCATTCATCTTCCTTTGGAGAATATTCATTATCAGGAACATTCTAAGAGGCAACTGTGCCAGTATTTTAACAGGATGAAGCAAAACATGCTGCAAATATTCAAATACTTACTGGTGCTCAGAATGTCCTGATGAGAAATCAGATCATTTAATGTCTGAGGCCGGTATTTTTCCACCCTGGGGATAAGAAATAATATGGCATGTGTTCTGCAAGTAAAGAGTCCAGCTCTCTGTACTTGCAAATATTCTCTTTTATATTTGAGATACTTAAACAGATAAAACAACGGAATGCATTTCAAAACTAATGAGAAAAGCCTTGTCACATAGTGCTGGAAACTTTTCATATTCAAAAGCACTCACAGCAGTTCTTAGGCGAACAACATACACAGACTTAATATTTGTTAGCCAGCCTATTAGTATTAACAAAACCAGATAAGCTGGATTGTCCAGCCCTGCATTTGCATCATGTTATCTGAATGAGACATGTAGAATAATCACAGGATGTCTTAAACCTACACCTGTTGATAGACTCTATAAGCTAGCTGGCATTGCCCCCCACCCCCAATGTGTGATGGGAAGTTGCTGCCAACTGTGAGAGAAATAAGGTTGAACACTGTGAAAGCCACCCACTGCATGGCTATCAGCCTCCTCCCAGTAGATTTAAATCAAAGAAAAGTTTCATGAGAACCACCACTCCTCTTAATGTCCTTCCAGCAACAGCAAGAATATTTCTGTGGGCAACAAAATCAGGTAATTCTAACTGGATGGCCCCCCACAAAGGTCTTCCTCCATGGGCCAACCAAGAATGGGCAACTTGGAAGTCCCTGAACAGACTCAGAAGTGGAGTGGGCAGATCAAATGACAACCTGGCAAAATGGCACAGAACAGAACAGTGGTTCCCAACCTTTGGTACTCCAGGTGTTTTGGACTTCAACTCCCACAATTCCTAACAGCTGGTAAGCTGGGAATTGAAGTCCAGAACAACTGGAGGACCAAAAGTTGGGAACCACTGACCTAGAAGGATCCTCCATCTTGTGCAACTGTGGAGAAGAACAAACAACTCAGCATCTGTATGCTTGCCCACCATGCCCTGCCTCATGCACAGAGGAAGAACTGTTTAAAGCTGCAGACAGTGCAGGCACTGTTGTTTGTTTTTGGTCTAAAACTATTTAACTGCTTGTGATCCCTTTATTTTATCCATTTTGGTTGTTGTTTATTCATTTAGTCACTTCTGACTCTTCATCACCTCATGGACCAGCTCATGCCAGAGCTCCCTGTCAGCCGTCACCACCCCCAGCTCCTTCAAGGTCAAGCTAGTCACTTCAAGGATAACCTCCATCCATCTTGTCCTTGGTCAGCCCCTCTTCCTTTTTCCTTCAGTTTTCCCTAGCATCATTGTCTTCTCCAAGCTTTCCTGTCTTCTCATTATGTGGCCAAAGTACTTCATCTTTGCCTCTAATATCCTTCCCTCCACTGAGCAGCCAGGCATTATTTCCTGGAGCATGAACTGGTTGGATCTTCTTGTGGTCCAAGGCACTCTGAGAACTTTCCTCTAAACAACCGTTCAAAAGCATCTATCTTCCTTCGCTCAGCCTTCCCTATGGTCCAGCTTTAGCTGGATCAGTGGACTTACTTACTTACTTTACTTAGGCGATCCCTCGTTGGACGAGTAAGATGGTCTTCCATTATGGATTTCCTTGTGGGTCCGTATGTGGCTGTGGAGCCCTATTCTTGCTCTGCATCTTCTTCCGCAGTGAGGGCATTGGTTTCCAGGTGGAAGGCGGTCCCGGTCGGGGTTGGCTTGACGTGCTTTCCTCCTGGCACGTTTCTCTCTTTTTCACCCTCCACTCGTGCCTCCTCAAATTCTGCAGCACTGCTGGTCACAGCTGTCCTCCAGCTGGAGCGCTCAAGGGCCAGGGCTTCCCAGTTCTCAGTGTCTATGCCAGAGTTTTTAAGGTTGGCTTTGAGCCCATCTTTAAATCTCTTTTCCTGTCCACCAACATTCCGTTTTCCGTTCTTAAGTTCGGAGTAGAGCAACTGCTTTGGGAGACGGTGGTCAGGCATCCGGACAACGTGGCCGGCCCAGCGGGGTTGATGTTGGAGGACCATCGCTTCAATGCTGGTGGTCTTTGCTTCTTCCAGCACACTGACGTTTGTCCGCTTGTCTCCCCAGGAGATTTGCAGGATTTTCCGGAGGCAGCGCTGATGGAAACGTTCCAGGAGCTGCATGTGACGTCTGTAGACAGTCCACGTCTCACAGGCATAGAGCAGGGTTGGGAGGACAATAGCTTTATAGACAAGCCCCTTGGTCTCCCTACGGATGTCCCGGTCCTCAAACACTCTCTGCTTCATTCTGGAAAATGCTGCACTTGCAGAGCTCAGGCGGTGTTGTATTTCGGCGTCGATGTTGACTTTGGTGGAGAGGTGGCTGCCAAGGTAGCGGAAATGGTCCACATTTTCTAATGTTACACCATTAAGCTGTATTACTGGCATTGGAGAGGGATTGGCTGGTGACTGCTGGAACAGCACCTTGGTTTTCTCAATGTTCAGTGACAGGCCGAGCTTCTCATATGCTTCTGCGAAGGTGTTTAGAGTGGCTTGTAGATCTTCTTCTGAATGCGCACAGACGACATTGTCATCAGCATACTGGAGTTCTATAACAGATGTTGTTGTAACCTTGGTTTTGGCTTTCAGTCTGCTGAGGTTGAATAGCTTGCCATCTGTCCGATAGATTATTTCCACTCCGGTGGGAAGCTTCCCATCAACAAGGTGAAGTATCATAGCGATGAAGATGGAGAATAAAGTTGGAGCAATAACACATCCCTTTTTGACACCGGATTCCACTTTAAATGGGTCACTTTGGGAGCCATTGCTGTCCAAGACTGTTGCCATCATGTCATCATGGAGGAGCCGCAGGATGTTCACAAATTTGTTTGGGCACCCGATTTTGTGGAGGATGGTCCAGAGAGCGCTGCGATTCACTGTGTCGAATGCCTTTGCAAGGTCGATGAATGCCATGTACAGAGGTTGGTTTTGTTCCCTGCATTTTTCTTGGAGCTGTCGTGCAGTGAAGATCATGTCCACGGTTCCTCTGGAGGGGCGGAAGCCGTTCTGGGATTCTGGGAGGGTGTCTTCTGAGAGGGGCAGAAGGCGGTTTGCAAGGATTCTTGCGAGGATTTTCCCAGCGGAGGTTAGAAGGGAGATACCTCGATAGTTTCCGCAGTCTGTTCTTTCCCCTTTTTTGAAGAGGGTGATGATGGTGGCGTCCGGGAATACCATTGCTTTAACTATGTGGATCTTCGTTGCCAGTGTGATGTCTCTACTCTTCATTATTTTATTGAAATTGGTCATTGCTCTCCTCCCAAGAAGTAAACGTCTTCCGATTTCCTGGCTGCAGTCTGCGCCTGCATTAATCTTTGCACCTAGAAAAACAAAGTCTGTCACTGCCTCCATGTGTTCTCTCTCTATTTGCCAGTTATCAATCAATTATCAATCAGTGTGGTTGCCATAATCTTGGTTTATCAGTTTTAAACTTATTTAGTTATGCAATGCTTTTGACACAAAATAAATACATATGGGATGTATTTATTAAAAATTTTAGGGCAACAGTCAGGAATGGAATAACGGTCCACAGTTCAATATCTACCACCTCCAACTAGCTCTGAGAAAAGACCCATTTGAAACCCTGAAATCCATGGCAGCTTGTAATTTTCCTACCCCAAATGCAAACCACATGCATTTGGGATTTTTTAAAACATGCAAACTGAATATACCAATGCCGCAGTGTAGTATAAAGCTGCTTCCTATGGAATCCCTCCTATAGTGGTTTAGTCCAGGTCTACACATATGGCAGAATAAAGAGGAAGACAGAGGCAATATAATTTTGGAACATAGCATTGTGGGGTTTGCAGGAAGGGTTTATTCAAGAGTTCTGCAAGAAGCTTTAAATGAACAGAGCTGCCTTCACTGTTCATTGATTTCTGTTTATGCAGAGATGTTGGCTCTGCATGGATAATCCTGATAAAAAAAATCACCAGCCCAGACTCCTACTGCCAGAGTAATATAATGGGACATTTTTATCTCATAGCAGATTACAGCTGAACATTGCAATCTACAGCTTAGCCGCTCAAAACAACTCTCCTGTAACAGACCATAGCCACAACACACCGGTACTCCCTCTGAGTGCCCCCAGCTGGCTTCGACATTTAATGAATAGCTATCGGCCAGCTACTCTGGCCCCTTCTACTCTGCTATAAAAATTCCAGATTATCTGCTTTGAACTGGATTATATGGCAGTGTGGACTCATATAATTCAGTTCAAAGCAGATAATCTGGATTGTTTGCTTTGATTATCTAGATTATATGGCAGCGTAGAAGGGGCCTCTGTGTCACAACCTAATCTAACAAACAAGACCGAGAGAGAGAGAAATTAAAAGTAACATACATTAAATAATTGGAATAATCAATTATCTTCCACAGCTGTTTCCCTTCCTCTATTATTATGCTCAAACAATAAGAACTTTGCCTGCCAGTGAAAGGAAAGCATGAAAGGGTCAGTCTGGCCTCTCACAAAAGGGAGCTCCAGAGGTTGGGAGGAGTACTAAGCCCCCTTCCACTCAGCTGAATAAAATCCCACATTATCTGCTTTGAACTGGTATCTATGGCTGTGTGGACTTAGATAACCCAGTTCAAAGCAGATATTGTGGGATTTTCTGCCTTGATACTCTGAGTTATATGGCTGTGTGGAAGGACCCTGAGAAGACTCTCTCTCATGATGCGGGACTAGGATAAATCTTTTCCATGAGGACCTTAAAGTTCAGACAGAATCCTAGGGGAAGGCCCCTCTTTCAGATAGTGTGGCCCTGAGCCATACAGGGCTTTATAGATCACAGCTAGCTATTTGAATTGTGCCCAAAAATAAACTGGTAGCCTGTTAAGCTGTTTCAACAAGAGTTTGACTCTATGACTGGCCCTAGTTGACATTCCAACCAGAGCACTCCCAAACATTTTCCAAAGGCAGCTCCACATAGTGTTATAGTAGTCCAGATAGGACGAAATCAAGGCATGTGTCACCACTGCAAGATCTGATGTATCAAGGAAGAGGTACATCTGGTGCCCTAGTTTTAGCTGTATAAATGCACTCGTGACCACAGCCGAAACCTGGGTATTTAGGCTCA